AGATGTTGATGTTAATGTGGATTGATTTCACAAAAACAAGCTGACTATGAGAGGAGAGGGAAAGGGGAATGTAATCCCTTTATAGAGTGGTTTTATAGAGTGGCTCTTTTCCCTTTCTTTTCCCTTTCGTTTCCTGCCACAGCATGACTGACTGCAAGTTCATATGTATTTTCGTGTATCTCTGGGCGAATTGAAGGCTGTCCTCTTCAGCCAGCCTGCTCTCATCAATAAAATTTTGTTTTGCATTGAATTTGGCACTGTTTCGTTGGCTAATCTCATTTCATTTCTATTAAAAGTGTTGATAAATCCGGTTCGAGCAAGTTTCTTGAGATCAAAGGTCGAGAAAAAAGATGGACACCAACTTATCAGCTTGGCGCAGTGGTAGAGCGCTGGTCTCATGTTTTGGGGCGTCTCGCAAGCATCCCGGGTTCAATCCCGCAAGCAGCCGTTATCTATACAAATGTGTGCTTTCTTTGAGCAGATCCTGGAGATCAAAGGGCGAAAAGGGGGATGCGAGAAATTGTCAGCGTGGCGCAGTGCCAGAGTGCTGGCCTCTCGATCCGGGGCGTCGGGGTTCGATCCCGCAAGCAGCCGTGACCTTTACAAATTTGTGATTTTTTTGAGCAGATCCTTGAGATCAGAGGGTGAAAAGGGGATGCGACAAATTGTCAGTGGTAACTGAGTGGCGCAGTGGCAGAGCGCTTGTCTCGCGTTCTGGGGGGTTGGGGTTCAATCCCGCATGCGGCCATTTTGTATATAAATCAGCCTCTTTTCTGCCACACGGACCTTGAGATTAAACTGCACGAAAAAAGATCCTTGCCAACTTGTCGGCATGGCGCAGTGCGAGAGCGCTGGCCTCTCGTTCCGGGACCGGGAGTTCGATCCTGCAAGCAGCCGTGATCGGGCAGATCCTTGAGATCTCTTTTTGAGCAGATCCTTGAGATCAAACGGCTAAAAGGGGCTGGGTCAACTCGTCAGCATGGCTCAGTGCCAGGTCTTTGGTCTCTAGTTCAGGACGGCCGGGTTCGATCCCGCATGCAACCTTTATCTTTCTGCTTTTTGCAAAACAAGTGAGAAAATTTAAGTATAAACCTAGCATACCTAGCAGAGTGGGTCTATTAGGCTTTGACCTGCATTAGCTTTGACCTGCACTAGCTATTAGGCTTTGACCTGTTTCTGCTCAAATTTGTAAACACATCCTTTCTGGCGCACTGAATCCTCGACTTTCTTGCACGGCTCGGAAAAAAAAAAGAAGAAACATTCACTGCACCAAAAAGGCTGTGTTTACATTTTCGTACAAAGTGCACAAGAGAACAAGTCTAATGCAGGGTCAGCTCTCAATGTGTGCTTCCCGCCTTCGCCCAGTCTTCCCTTTTTCCCTCAAAGAACTCTTTTCTTCTTTTCTCTATCTCATCTTCATTCACTCCACCAACGATTTTCCCCCAGCTGACCCCCAAAAAGGCGCGTCTTATGAAAGAAAGAAAGAGAGAGAAAGAAAGAAAGAGAGTCTCTTCTCTATTTGAAATAGCTTTCTGAGTTGCGCCACTGAGAGAATTTATGCCCCTATCTTTGCGATAAACAGTCAATAATGAATCGTTAGATTTCTCAGAGCTCTCTCTTCTTTTTATTCAATCATTTTTCGAATAAATTCTTATTCTAATATATAGAAAAGATTTTCGTAATTTATCAGTTTAGCCGAAAATTCGGCTTTTTTTGTGAAATTTTCCTTTAGAAATGAAGAATTAGTCGCTAATTTTGTGATTTGCTTTAAATTAAAAAAGATTATCATTACATTACATCATTATATTTAACTTTTTAGAGAAATTTGAAGCTTTAAAACAAATCAGAAACGAGAAAATTCTTGTTTTTCTAAAAATTCTACAATGAAAGCCTTATAAAATCATGAAAATTAGGCTATCTGGGGAAATTAGGCAATTAGGCTAACACGTTGATCTTAATAACTTTTTTTCCAGTAGAAGAATTTTGAAAACTCAAGTTTTTTTACGCTATCTGGATATCATTATAAAAAAGTTATGAAGTAGATTTTTATGTGCTACGAAAAAATGTACCCAGATTTGGCCTCTACTGTTTGGTTCTGGTTTGGTTCTGGTTTGGTTCTGGTTGGGTTCTGGTTTGGTTCTGATTGGGTTCTGGTTTGATTCTGGTTTGGTTCTGGTTTGGTTCTGGTTTGGTTCTGGTTTGGTTCTGATTGGGTTCTGGTTTGGTTCTGGTTTGGTTCTGGTTTGGTTCTGGTTTGGTTCTGGTTTGGTCCTGGTTTGGTTCTGATTGGGTTCTGGTTTGATTCTGGTTTGGTTCTGGTTTGGTTCTGGTTTGGTTCTGGTTTGGTTCTGATTGGGTTCTGGTTTGGTTCTGGTTTGGTTCTGGTTTGGTTCTGATTGGGTTCTGGTTTGGTTCTGGTTTGGTTCTGGTTTGGTTCTGGTTTGGTTCTGATTGGGTTCTGGTTTGGTTCTGGTTTGGTTCTGGTTTGGTTCTGATTGGGTTCTGGTTTGGTTCTGGTTTGGTTCTGGTTTGGTTCTGGTTTGGTTCTGATTGGGTTCTGGTTTGGTTCTGGTTTGGTTCTGGTTTGGTTCTGGTTTGGTTCTGATTGGGTTCTGGTTTTGGTTCTGGTTTGGTTCTGATTGGGTTTTGTTGGGTTCTGTTTCTGGTTTGGTTCTGGTTTTCTGATTGGGTCTGGTTTGGTTCTGGTTTTGGTTCTGGTTTGGTTCTGATTGGGTTCTGGTTCTGTTCTGGTTTGGTTCTGGTTTGGTTCTGGTTTGGTCCTGGTTTGGTCCTGGTTTGGTCCTGGTTTGGTTCTGGTTTGGTTCTGGTTTGGTTCTGATTGGGTTCTGGTTTGGTTCTGGTTTGGTTCTGGTTTGGTTCTGGTTTGGTTCTGGTTTGGTTCTGATTGGGTTCTGGTTTGGTTCTGGTTTGGTTCTGGTTTGGTTCTGGTTTGGTTCTGGTTTGGTTCTGGTTTTGCTTTGTGAAATTCCTTTTGAACCAATCTCCTATCAAGCGTTCAAGTACAGAATTTCTGCCCTCCATTTTCTATTTCCAATTGTTTTCGAATAAACCCCATTGATTCAACATAGTTTTGTCTGTTCTGCCTTTCTGTTGGTCCATTTTTGTCGGGTGAATGTTTTCTTTGCTCAAGAGAGGAAAGGAAAGAAGAAAAAGGGAAGAGCTTTTCATCAAAAAGCCAAAAAATCTTCTTTTGTCTGTACTTTGTGCTCGAAATTGCAAATCTAGCAATCAGCAATCAGCAATCAGCAAGCAAATCCCTTTTGTTGTACTCAATTCTTCATTTTTCTTGCAACATCAACTATTTCTGACAAAAATGAAGGATTCAGTGCGCTGGGAAGTGTGCGTTTAGATAGTAAAGCACCAAATACACAGTTAGAATCCTATTTACATAAGGTTTTAAGGGATTGACGCGAAAACGGCGCAACGCGCTTTCTAAAGCATGGATACGCTACCGTACCCCACACAAAATTCCCCTTTTGCCATTCTTTTCATTTTTCGGCATTCATTTCTTCTTTTTCTTCATTCTTCGATCTTTTTTCGGCTTTTATACTGTTTTTCTTTATGTTTTCCTTTTTTGCTTATGTTTTTAGTTTTTCTTTATGCTAGGGCTTGCTAAATTTTCTTCGCCCTTCGTAAAATCGGTACTTTGGTGGTTGGGAGGGGGCACTTTTATCCTGGCTTAGTCGAATCTAATGTTTTAGCCAAAAGGAACCAAATTTGGTTACTTTTTCTAGACAAATTTGGTTCTTTTGTCTACAAATTTGGTTCCTTTTGTCTATAAATTTGGTTTTTTCTATAAATTCTTCGGACTTTGTTAGGCTTTTATGCCGTTTTTCTTTATGTTTTCCTTTTTTGCTTACTTTTTTGCTTACTTTTTGGGAGTGGGACAAAGTGCGACCTTTTTTTGCGCACCCGGACATTTGCGCACCTTTTTTCCGCACTTAACTCATTAGCGCACCTTTTTTCGCGTTTTAAAAAACCTCTAAAAGCTAATATTAACCAATTTCTATTCCAAAAGTTGTTTTTCTAGGTAATTTTGATTTTCTTGAATGATTTTCTTTTCATTTCCGAAAGATTTTCTTTTCTTTATGAGTACGAGTGGCCGATCTCGTTAAAGCTCGATCAGGCCGTAAAGTGCACTTACTGTGGATTCACTTTAAGGTCTAACGGTTTTTTTCATTTTTCTTTCTCTAGAAACGTTTCCCCCCTCATAATTTTGTATTTTTTTGTGCATTTTGGTACGTAAAAGCCAGGTTTCGTTGGAAATCTCGATCAGACCGTAAAGTTGAATTTTGTCGGTAAGGGAGTTACTTACACTGCCACTTGCCCTACTTGCCAAATTTTATAAATCTCATTGTTTGCTCTCTGTTCGTCAAATGTTGTCTCAAAATTTGTCACCAACAGCTCTTTTTTATGTTTTTAATTCATTCTGGCTATCCTTTTGATCAAAAAAAACATCAAAACGATTATGAAATTCAAAAATTGCTCACTTTTCAAACAGAATATTTGTTGGTTCAATTTATAAACACAGCGTCTTTTTAAAGATTTCCCCTTCTTTGTCTCTTTTATCAAAGCATCGATTTCTTTTTTTTGGAGAATCTCTTTTCTCTGGAGAATCTTTTGAAATTTCTTTGCACCACAATTGCTTTGAAATGCTCAAAATTTGTTTGCATCACAATTCCTTTAAAGGCTTTATCGGTGCCTTGCGCTTAGAATGTAAATGCATTCTCTGGTGCACTGAACTTTTCAATTTCCTTAAGAAAGCAAACTGTTGCGGGGAGGAAAATGAAGAATACAGTGCCAAATTTGCGAATTTCCTTGAGAAAGGGCTTATTTCCATTTTTAAGCACACTCTAATCTTTGAATTAAATCTCTTTCATTTATTCTTTCATTTTACATTTATTTTGTAGATTTTTGATTTTTTTTTAGTAGATTTTTGAGCCATTATCTATTCTTATCATTCCAGGAATGCTATAACGATGCTCTCCGAAATCCGATCGCAACTTTCTGAGAGTCAAGATAGGTTAGATCTTTTGAACTTATCGCTACAAAGCTGTCACCAGTGTGATTTACAGCTACCTACTCAAGAATACAGTAAAGCATAAGGTCCTCCTACCTTGAGATCAATACACTGACGCGTGGATACGCGTCAGTCTATTGATCGGTGTAGCTCATTGATTAAGCGTTTGCGCGGGCAGCCAGAGGACGCGGGTTCGAATCCCAGCCACAACCCAGAAAAGAACCCATCCATATTAGATATTGAGTTGGGGAGGAGGAAATGGTGCCGAAAATCAAAGAAATTTCTAAAACTTCTAGCAGAACAAGACTAAAACTGCGTCAAATGATACACTTTTGATATCAGTAGAAAGGTTAACTAGTTCTCTACAAAATGACGTTTAGAAGAGAACTTAAACAGCGCTTCAGCTCAACAAAAGGCCATTTTTTCACAAAATCTATAAACTCTCATCTAGAGATCTTCCAGAGTTCTAGGTTAAAGAGATCTTCTTGAAAATTATATATATATGTCGTAGCCGTTTACGAAATTCAGCCGCTAACGAATGAGGGTATTTCCGGGCATCCAATCAAAAAGTCACCCACATAAAAAATGTTCATAATACATATATTTTATAATAAATTTTTGAAATTAGCTCATTTGGTTCAGTAGAAAATTTTTTTTGAGCCCCCAAAGTTTAGGTTCAAAAATGCCGTAAAATGGCTATAAAAAATTTTCTACTCAGCCAAAAAACTTGCCTAATAGCTCATTTTGTAGCCAATTTGATGTAGATTCTTAAAGTAAAGCCATCTAAAACAATTTTTCGTTGAAAGTAGGAGAAAGAGGGCGAGGAACAAATTCAGGGCAATTCTCAAATGTGAAAACAGCGACCGAGTTCAACTGAAGTCGTTCCTCGCCCTCTTTCTCCTAGCTTTGAAAAACAAATGTTCAATGTAGCTTTACTTTAAGAAACTACATCAAATTGGCTACAAAATGAGCTATTAGGCAAGTTTTTTGGCTGAGTAGAAAATTTTTTATAGGCATTTTTGAACCTAAACTTTGGGGGCTCAAAAAAAAATTTTCTACTGAACCAAATGAGCTAATTTCAAAAATTTATTATAAAATATATGTATTATGAAAATTTTTTATGTGGGTGACTTTTTGATTGGATGCCCGGATTGCCCGAATGCCGGAATACCCTCATTCGTTAGCGGCTGAATTTCGTAAACGGCTACGACATATATATTCAAACGAGTATTTAGATGGAAAAACAAAACAAGCATTCCCTCGTCTCCATCCCGAAAAGAGGGCCTCAACAGCATTCAGAAGCGGTTGGCCGAGTTGAATTCGGTAAAAGTTATTTCAGATCTAAAAATTATCGAATCTAAGCTAACATTATCTAAGCTATCTTTAAAATCTCTAAACTACCTTTTTCTTTTTTAGTCAGCCGACGATTGGCGCCGAAAAGTGCGCAAAGATGTTTCGCCGACGCGGAAACCCACGCAAAAAGTGCATCCGCTGGAAAAACAAACGCTAAACTACGAGAAACTGTTAACGGTTGGTGAAAATTGAATCTACTAGACTTTAACTGAATATCTTTAGCCTCAGCCATCAAAAGCGAACACTTTACATAATATCGACTCTGGACTAAACACGTTTTTCTCTGCCACCGTTCCACTTACGGTGAATTCGTTTGTTTTGTAAAAACTGGCTGAGCCAAATGCTATGCAATCTACACCATTTGATGCAGAATTTCATGCTGATTCCGAATATATATTCAGTTTTTGTTAGATTACAATCTGTCAAGAGTTATAAGCGTCTAAAGTTGGTTAGGACTCTGAAAATGTGTCTGTGATTGTGGACTTGTGAAAATGTGGAAACTGCTGAACAGTTGATGGCGATTGATCAACATTACTTGATGGCTTTATATATGGAAAGCGATGTGCCAGATGGAGCTTATTCGCGCGCACAAAGAACACTAGTTCTTGAAAAAAGCGAAAGAAAAATCCAAAGCGGGGGGTCGAAGGTCTCGCTCTAGAAGCGAACGCTTTACCACTTGGCCACAGTGGCCACAGCTGCACTGAGTGGAGTCCGCAAGCAGGCCGCTAAGACCCAAATGAAGCCGCTAAGACCACATTTTCAGACATTTAAGATTTCATCCTAACAAAACTTTAGACGCTAAGATCCAAATGACCACATTTTCAGAGTCCTAACCAACTTTAGACACTTATAACTCTTGACAGATTGTCATTTAGCAAAAACGGAATATATATTCGGAATCAGCATGAAATTCGGCGTCGAATGGTATTGGTTGCATAGCATTTGGCTCAGCCAGTTTTTCCCTTGTCTTATCTAAATAATTCTCATTTCTATACTTAACTCAATTTGAATACTAAATATTTATTATTTATTATTTAAATAACTCATATCTACGCTTAAACTTTAAAAAACCTTTAGTCAGTTACTAAAAATGAAGGCGAATTGCAAAAGGAGGAGATCGATTTGGACGCTATTCAGCCATCACAGAGGTAAAACCGGGCTAAACCGAAGCCTTCAGAGGCTGATTTTTAAGTTTAAAGTTTAAAGTTCAAGATCATGGATATAGCTGGATGATAGATATAGCTGGATAATAGATAATAGATATAGCTGGATGATAGATATAGCTGGATAATAGATAATATAGCTAGATAATCGTTATCTTGGAAAGTATAATTCTCTAACTTTTTAGGCTATCCACCCCAAGACGACTAGTGCCTCGACCGGGTCGACCAGCACGACGAAAGGTGAGGAAACTGAAGGCTTTAAAAGCATAATACTATTGAAATAGTACTGTAATACTGTAAAATTATCTTACTATCGTAAAGTTATCGTACTATCTTAAAGTTATCGTACTGTTGTAAAGTTATCGTACTGTTGTAAAGTTATCGTATTACTGCAAAGCTATCGTAAAGCTAGTATGATTTGGATAACGTTTCAAGGCTGGAACCGATCGTCTAAAAGCGATTGACGTTGATAGTGTGCATTGTGAGGAGGATCTTCGGGATCATTTGGTTATTGAGGAGCTTGATGACGATATGAGCACACCGGTGGCTACAAGTGCTAGAAAGGGATTACAGGTTTTTTTTAGAGCTAAAAGGTTAAACATTTAAAACACTTGATTTAGGTGCTTTAAATTTAAATTCTAGCTTTAAATCTAGCTAGATTTAAATTTAAATCGAGCTTTAAAAAGCTAGATTTCTAGCTTGTTGTTAACTTAACTGTTAACTTAACTGTTAACTTGTTGTTAACTTAACTGTTAACTTAACTGTTAACTTAACTGTTAACTTAACTGTTAACTTAACGTTAACTTAACTGTTAACTTGTTGTTAAACGATATTTTCTAACTTGATATCTATCTAGCTTTTTGTTAAACACTTGTTAGCTTGTTGTTTTATATTCCGAGAAGGATTGTAAGCCTTATCTTTTAGTCAATCGAGAACTATGACGCAGCAAAGAGTGCTCTGAAGCAAGCCGATCTCGTTTCCCCGTTTCCTGACGTGATGTTGATTCGAATCATGGGTTTGTGAAGAGTTTAAAGAAGATTTGGTTCCTTTTCTCTACAGATTTGGTTCCTCTACAGATTTGGTTCCTTTTCTCTAAAGATTTGGTTCCTTTTCTCTATAGATTTGGTTCCTCTACAGATTTGGTTCCTTTTCTCTACAGCTTTCGTTACTTTCTCTACAGATTTCGTTACTTTCTCTACAGACCAGTGCTGGTTGATTTTGAGATTTAAGACCGCATGCACAAACTATCAAAATTCAGCGTTTTAACCTAATATCCTAGTTTAACAAGACCCAGAATTTATTACGTCGTAGAATTCAGTCCGATTCAACAAGTTAACAAGTTAACAAGTTACTAACTGTGCAAAGTGCTCTCAGTTTTCGAAATCCTAGCTGAAGAATTTCTTGTAATCGCTTTAATGCGAGTACTTTCTGTGCAAAGTTGTTGATTAAATGCGCACAGCAGTTTACGCTAAAATAGGTTGAGCCACGAAGCCACCAATTGAGCCACAAAGTCACCAATTGAGCCACAAAGTCACCAATTGAGCCACAAAGCCACCAATTGAGCCACGAAGCCACTAATTGAGCCACAAAGGCACCAATTGCGCCAGAAAGTCACCAATTGAGCCACGAAGCCACTAATTGAGCCACAAAGTCACCAATTGAGCCAGAAAGTCACCAATTGAGCCACAAAGTCACCAATTGAGCCACAAAGTCACCAATTGAGCCACGAAGCCACTAATTGAGCCACGAAGCCACTAATTGAGCCACAAAGTCACCAATTGAGCCACGAAGTGAACCGAGTGTAGCGTACAATTCAAGAATACTAAAATCATCTTTTAGATACAATAAATTAATAATCTAACCGCTTTGGACTCTTCTCTTTATCCATATTTGAAAATCAAATAGCTGAAAGTCTTTAGCTGAAATCTAAATAATAAATTAAAATATGCAAATCAAAACAAAATACAAATTTAGTCATAACAGACAAAAATTGCCCGGATTTCTTCAAGCTTCTTTCAAGCTTTAAGTCAAAACAGAATCGAATCACTATCCAATTCTTTTATAGCATCATACTAAAATCTATTAATCATTAAATCTTATGACCTCTTTGACGAGTTTAAAACTACTGCTGTTCGTTTTTTGTTGTTGTTCTTACTAAAAAAGTTTATTGTAATAATAAGCAATAAGAAATACGTCTGTTATTCCTTTAGCGCTAACACAAATGTTACCATTTTACTCTCATTTTACTCTCAAACTCTCTACGCCGCATTTTACTCTCCATTTTACTCATTTTACTCATTTTACCAGAGCTACAAGCGTCTACAAAGAGATTTGAATCGAAACTTTGATCTTTGATCGAAACTTGATCGATCAATCGATTGATTGATTGAAACTCCACTCCATCAAATCTAATCTAATTGATCTGTTGATTAGTTTGATCAAATACTGGCTTTCTTAGAGAAGCTCAGATCTTAGAGAGGCTCATCTGAGGCTCAGCCTAAGCCTCAGATGAAAGCCTTAGATTAAAGGATATTGCAATCATCGGAAAGATTTATATTAAGCAAAGTTTATCCAATCTCCACTTGTAGCTAAAGCTATCAATTCTTAGCTACCAATTCTTAGCTACCAATTCTAAAGCTACCAATTCTTAGCTACTAATTCTAAAGCTATCAATTCTTAGCTACCAATTCTAAAGCTACCAATTCTAAAGCTACCAATTCTAAAGCTACCAATTCTTAGCTATCAATTCTTAGCTACCAATTCTAAAGCTATCAATTCTAAAGCTACCAATTCAGGTGAGAAGAAAGTCGACGTTCGTTTGGTTGAGCCAAAGGGTTCATCTGTTCATCAGCACGGCTGCTTTGTGCTTGTCACGCCGAAAAGACTCTTTCTCTATACAGGATCAGAAAGCAATATTCTTGAAAAGACAAAGGTTTGTTCTCTAAAAGATATTCTAAAAGATATTCAGTTAATAAAGCTTAAATTTAGGGGGCTCAAATGACAACATCGATCATTCAAAAGAAAGATCTCTTTTGCACAGCTGAATGCGTTGAACGGGTTGAAGGATCAGCGCCGGCTTTCTTTAAGATATTAGGAGGTGGGTGATAGCTAAGAATAGCCAAGGTGATAGGTAAGAATAGCCAAGGTGATAGCTAAGAATAGCCAAGGTGATAGCCAAACCAAAGCCATGGCTTTGACTTGACTTGTCCAGAGTTATTCTATAGTTTCCAGGGCCAGGTCAGGCTCTACTGTCTTGTGCAACATCTGGACCTATCTTCTAGTTTGAACTTGGCAGTTTTACAGAGTTTGGCTGGTTGTAATGCTGACCTAGCCGTAATCCTGGCCTGGCTGTAATGCTGGTCTAGCTGTAATGCTGACCTAGCTGTAATCCTGGCTTTAATACTGGCCTGGTCTAGTCCTAATCTAAACCTGGCTTCTTGTCTAGCCTGGTTTAAGTCTAGCTTAAGCTCTAGGACTCATCTGGAAGATTCCTGAATTCACGAATCATTCAGTTATCGAAAAAAACTACAAACTTCTGAACTTTCTTGTCTGTCAGGTGATTCATCAAATTCATCGTTCATCCGCCCGGCTGAACCCTTCGAAAATCTCGCTGCTTCAGCAAATCTTATCCTCCGGGTCACTGACGACTACAAAATTCAGTCGATCGTCAAAGGGGAACGGCCACGTTTCAAGATTTTCCAACCAAATGAGGTAATTAGTAAAGAAACGCAATAGCACCGCAATAGCACCGCAATAGCACGAGCATTGCTTTGCTCACGAAAGTGATTTAGACTTTGATTCTCGACTTTGGCTCCGAGATTTACATCTGGAGTGGGCGAAACGCGAGAAAGACAAGCGGAAGATACGCAAAGGAGTATGTGAACAAATTGGTGGGTTTAAAATTTAAAAATAAAGCTATCGTAATTCTCTAAAGTACAGTAAAGCTTCTATAAAGCTTCTATAAAGCTTCTATAAAGCTTCTATAAAGCTTCTATAAAGCTCTATAAAGCTATTCTATAAAGCTTCTATTAGGTTGTCCAATAAGTAATGCGTGTTTTGACACGATTTTCAAAATATCACAAAATTAACAAAAGAGAACTTTATTAATCGATATATTCTCCACAACAATCAACAACATTTCTCCATCCTCCGAGCAAAGAGTGAAGTCCGTCATAATAGAATGAAGCTGGTTTCGATGAGAAGAAATCGTCGAGCCATTTTTGCACCTCGTCAACACTTTTGAACTTGTGTTCTCCAAGAGCGTGCGCCATCGAACGGAACAAATGGAAATCAGATGGAGCCAGGTCTGGACTATACGTCGGATGTGGGAGAGTCGACCATCCAAGCTTCTCAATCTTCTGCTATGCGATTTTTGCAATATGCGGACGAGCATTGTCAAACTGCAGTTTAATCATCGAAGTGTCCTCTCCTTTACGACAAAGAGCTTGCTGCACTCTTTCCAATTGTTGAGAGTACAAGTCAGCAGTGACCATTTGACCGGGGTTTAGAACTTCATATATTTGCTCGAAGCGATTTCGCAATAGTTTCGAAATAAGTAACACGCATTACTTATTGGACAACCTAATATAAAGCTTCTATAAAGCTTCTATAAAGCTTCTATAAAGCTATTCTATAAAGCTATCGTAATCCTGTGCATCGTAATTTTCAGATCAAGTGCGGTCTTGGGTGCAGCGAGATTTTTGGATGCGATATGTCAGTGAAGAGGCCCGAGTGGGTCATTGTGAGACGGGTCTTCCAGGTAAAAGACTTATCCTGGTTCTCTTTCTTCCTTTCTTTCTTCTTCCTTCTTCTTCTTCTTCTTCTACCTGACTTCCTTGTCTTCCCTATTTCTTCACTTTTTCCTTGTCTTTCCTATTGCTTCTTCTTCCTTGTCTTTTCTCTTTCTTCTTCCTCCTTGTATTTGCCATTTCTTCTTCCTCATCTTTCCTATTTCTTCTTCTTTCTTCTTCCTTATCTTTTCTATCTCTTCTTTTTCCTTTCTTCTTCCTCGTCTTTCCCATTTCTTCTTCTTTCTTCTTCCTTGTCTTTCCTATTTCTTCCTTCTTCCTTGTATTTGCCATTTCTTCTTCCTCGTCTTTCCTATTTCTTCTTTCTTCTTCCTTATCTTTTCTATCTCTTCTTCTTCCTTTCTTCTTCCTTGTCTTTCCTATTTCTTCTTCTTCTTCCTGGTCTTTCCTATTCCTTCGCCGATAGCTCATTGGTAAAGCAAAAGCAGAAGGTCAAGGCCAAGCAGAAGGTCAAGGCCAAGCAGAAGGTCAAGGTCAAGCAGAAGGTCGAGGGTTTAATTCCGCTCGCTTCTTGCTTCTCGCTTCCAAATCCTTTGCCATTCATCTCTTAACAGATAAAGTAAAGATCTAGAATAGAAATCAAATCCAAATTTCATTTCCAATCCAAATCCTTTCATTTCAGGGAGTCCAAGACGTTCTCTTTGCCTCAAAGTTCGCCGATTGGGAAACAAGTGAGATGAAAAATTTGTTCAAAACGCCGATATCAACGAAACAAATTCCTCGACGAGATCCTGAACAAGATGCGATCGATTTAGCTGAAAAGATTAAATCCTTCGAGCATCAACTCCCCGTACTTGTCCTTGAAGACTATGAATTTGAGAGGCAAACAAAAGTGAGTTGAATAGGGATTGTCGAAAGTTTTGAGAGCTTTGAGAGCAGCTTTGAGAGCATTGAGAGCTTTGAGAGCTTTGAGAGCTTTGAGAGCAGCTTTGAGAGCTTTGAGAGCTTTGAGATCAGCTTTGAAAGCTTTGAGAGCAGCTTTGAGAGCTTTGAGATCAGCTTTGAGAGCTTTGAGATCAGCTTTGAAAGCTTTGAGAGCTTTGAGAGCTTTGAGATCAGCTTTGAAAGCTTTGAGAGCAGCTTTGAGAGCAGCTTTGAGAGCTTTGAAGAGCTTTGAAGAGCGCTAAATATTTCTTTAGGATGTAATCACTGAAGACATTGCTTTCTGGGTGCTACAGGGAGAGGAATTAGAGAAAATCGAAAAGACAAACGTTTTGTGGAGTGATGAGTGCTATGTGGTGCGGTGGCAGTACAGGATTCAGTTGTCAGGTAGTTTTCTACGGATATTGAATAGAGTTGATACAGTAGTTGATACAGTAGATACAGTAGTTGATAGAGTAGTTGATAGAGTAGTTGATAGAGTAGTTGATAGAGTAGTTGATAGAGTAGTTAATACAGTAGATACAGTAGATACAGTAGATACAGTAGATACAGTAGATACAGTTCATACAGTTGATACAGTTGATACAGTAGTTGATACAGTTGATAAAAGTCCAATTTTTAGGTGTAAGACGGCTAAAAGACGGCTCTGAGGTTGAGCGGGAGACAGGCCGACAACGAATTGCGTATTTCTATTGGTTAGGCAAGTGGACATCACCAAAGCTTCAAGGTATCGTCAACTGTTTTCTGAAACAAATCAAATTTTAGGTCTTTGCGCGCTGAAGCTTTCACATATGGATAAAGAGAAGAGTCCTCATGTAAGTGTTAGAACTTTCCATAAAATCCTTTCATTCTTCCAGTCCATTCTTCCAGTCCTTTCATTCTTCTAGTCCATTCTTCCAGTCCATTCATCCAGTCCATTCTTCCAGTCCATTCTTCCAGTCCATTCTTCCAGTCCATTCTTCCAGTTCATTCTTCCAGTCCATTCTTCCAGTCCATTCATCCAGTCCATTCTTCCAGTCCATTCTTCCAGTCCATTCTTCCAGCCCATTCTTCCAGTCCATTCTTCCGGTCCATTCTTCCAGTCCTTCCATTCTTTCAGATTCGACAAGAACAAGGCGCTGAGCATCCGGTTTTTCTAGAGCTTTTTGAAGGAAAATTATTGATCAGAGATAGAAACTTGGTAAGAAAATAGATAAAGGTTTTAATCTTTCAAAGAAAATTCTAGAATGATCATCTTTTCGTCATTCGAGGCTCATTGTCAAGTGAAACTACACTTGAACAGATCAAAAAAGGAGAACCCATTGAGGAGTCATGCTGTTTATTTGGAGGCAATAGGTGAACTTTTGAAGACTTTATCAACCTTTATCAATCAAAGATGGCCTATCAACCTTTATCAATCAAAGATGGCCTATCAAGTCCATCAAATTCAAGCAAATTCAAGCAAATCCTATCAAATTCAAACCGTAAACCATTATCTAGTCCAAATCTGGCATCAAAATCGGTTTCTTTTGGATCTGGAATACCCTTTTATAAGAATTATAGCTTTGTTTCGATAATTGATAGATTTTTTTTCTATTTCAGCAAAGAAAAGCAAGCAAAGATGCAATTTTAGCCAACAAACCAGTCACTCTTCATGTCGGTGCACATTGTTCTGAAGTTCACGTGTCAAGCGGACTTCGCATGGCCACACTTCTCGTCGATTTGAAGCTAGCTGCTAGTGGAGAGGTAAATTGCAAAGCTGAACCTGAGCTGAGCAAAGCTAAACCTGAACTGAGCAAAGCTATTTGCTTGGCAGCTTATTGTTGTTGAAGAGCTGTTGAAGTGCCAGCTAGAGTTGTTTGAAAAGTATTTTTTCTGGGCAAGGCAAGGCCAGACAAAGTGTTGGTTTGAACTGTCTTTGCTGAGGGCCTGGCTCTTCAGAAGCCAAGTCTAAGTCTGGCTTCTAGTAGCCTTGCTTGGCTTCTAGTAGCCTTGTCTGGCTTCTAGTAGCCTTGCTTGGCTTCTAGTAGCCTTGCTTGGCTTCTAGTAGCTTTGCCTGACTTCTAGTAGCCTTGCTTGGCTTCTAGTAGCCTTGTCTGGCTTTCTAGTAGCTTTGTCTGGCTTCTAGTAGCCTTGCTTGGCTTCTATTAGGTTGGTGCAAAAGAAATTTCGGTCGATATAAAATGTTCTTATTTTTTTAATCTGAAGAGCTTATTTGATGTTCTTTTGTGCATTTGTACTCTTGGATATTTACTTTATTTTCGCATTTTTTCAGCTTTCACTTTTTAATTGATTTTTGCTTTAGATCATGGTGGATCAAAAGTATGTTCTGCGCACGTGTCTTCTCTATGACTTCAAAATGGGCAAAAACGCTGCTGATTCACATCGTGATCTCTGTTCCGCCTTTGGAGAACAGGTTATCACCGAAAGATCATGCCAGCTCTGGTTTGCCCAATTCCGAGATGGTAATGAATCCCTTGAAGACGAATCGCATGGACATCGTGCCACAGCCATCGACAACAATGAATTGAAGCTGATCCAATGCAAACAACACGAGAACTTGCCAAACATCTCCAATTCAACAATTGTACGCCATTTGGAAATAATTGGAAAGACAAATCGTAATGGACAATGGGTTCCACATCAATTGAGTGTTGAGAATCTGGGAGCACGCGTTCCGATCAGCCATATCTTGCTCCAGAAGTCGAAAAGAAGCCATTTTTTGAGAATATCTTGACGATGGATGAGAAGTGGATTCACTTTGATAATACTTCTCGAAAAAGACAATGGCTGAGCAAAGGTCAAGCGCCAATTCCAACTCCAAAGCCGGATTATCATGGGCGCAAAGTGATGTTGTCTTGCTGGTGGAATATCAATGGACTTGTTCATTTTGAATTATTAGAGCCCGGAAAAACAGTCGATTCATCTTATTTTATTCAACAACTCAAGAAGGTTGACGAAATTTTGCGTGAAAAAGGCCTAAATCCCTCAACTATCAACTTTCTCCGTGATAATGCTCCAGCTCACACGGCAAAAACCTCTTGTAAGGAACTAGAGAAGCTAGGATGGAAGGTCTTACCACATGCGCCGTATAGTCCAGACTTAGCACACTCCGATTTTCACCTTTTCAGATCGATGCAACATTCCCTTGAGAATTGCCAGTTTAAGAATGCAAAAGAAGTCGAAAATTGGGTGACCAACTACTTTGCATCACAGAATCAAGCGTTCTTTGAGAAGGGGATCCGCAATCTGTAGCAACGTTGGAGGGATGTCATAGATAATAATGGTGCTTATTGTTTTAAATAAATTGTTATCAAAAAAAAATTTGGATGACTTTAATGTTTGTAAAAAAACGAAATTTCATTTGCACCAACCTAGTAGCAGCCTTGCTTGGCTTCTAGTAGCCTTGCTTGGCTTCTAGTAGCTTTGCCTGGCTTCTGGTAGCCTTTCTTGGCTTCTAGTAACCGGAAGAAGTCATTGATAGAGTATCCTTTATCGTTTGATCTTTGCTTATTTCTTCGAATCTTTGCTCTCCGCATTACTGTCTTTCTACGCATTCTTTAAATCCTAATAATCTAATCAAAATCCTTTTAAACATTCTTTCTTTCTTGTACAATTGTTTTTTTAATGTCACTTTTCTAGGCAATAGCTCGGGTACAAGGCGACAACGATACATCGATCAAATGGATTATCGCTAAAAAGAGGATTAAAGCACCAAGAATGTTTAGGTGAGTGGAATGAAAAATGAAAGATTTTGAAGGGTTGCTGACTGCTGAAAACTGCTGAAAAGCTTTCAAATTTCAATTCAATTTAGACTTTTCGATTTCGAAGCAGAAGAGGTTCAATCAAACTCATTCCATCCGAGTGGCGTTGCGCCGTTTCCACATTTACAGGTAAAACGATAGCAAATGGTTTACTTTAAAGCTAGAATAATCTTTTGAATAGCTACAATGACCTTTTAAATAGCTACAGTAATCTTTCTAAATTAATTTCTAAATATCTATCAATAGCTCTGTCAATATAAACTCTAGAAAGAACTTCGCGATTCGGTGCTGATCGATGCCGGTGAAGTGCTTTGGCTTTGGTCAGAAGTCACTCCAAGTACCCATGTTTTAGAAACAGGATTAAGGTTTGTAAAGCTTTAAAAGGCTTAGGCTTAGGCTTAGGCTCAGGCTTAGGCTTAGGCTTAGGCTTAGGCCTTTACAGACAGCCTAAGCCTAAGCCTAAGCCTCTACAGGCAGCCTTACAATACTTTTACATTCATATTCTAACTTTAGATATTGGGATAAACGAGTTGGGCCTTGCACAGTCGTAGAGAAAAGAGCTGAACCACCAGAGTTCGTTGCTCTTTTCCAGGAATGGGTTGAGTGGCCAAAAGAAGAAATAACCAGTCCTGGTTGGTTTAGAATCTGAATAAAATCATTATTTTGATGATTCTTTCAGACTCAAGTCCTCCACGTGCTTTAAACGAATGTCTATCGGAGCGGCGGCGCACGTTCACCCCGTTTCAACTTCGAGATCGGGACTCTTTGCCGCCAGGAGTGGATCTTTCTCGATTGCACAAGTACCTCACCGAGGATGATTTTGAGAAGGTATTAGGCTTGGAGATTAGTGACAGAAAGATTTTTAGGCTTTGGGCTATGTAGTCAGAGCCAAGCCAGGGCCAAGCCAGGGCTAAGCCAGGGCTAAGCCAGAGCCAAGCCAGGGCCAAGCCAGGGCTAAGCCAGAGCCAAGCCAGGGCCAAGCCAGGGCCAAGCCAGGGCTAAGCCAGAGCCAAGCCAGGGCTAAGCCAGGACCAAGTCAGGACCAAGCCAGGGCCAAGCCAGGGCTAAGCCAGAGCCAAGCCAGGGCCAAGCCAGGGCTAAGCCAGAGCCAAGCCAGGGCCAAGCCAGGGCTAAGCCAGAGCCAAGCCAGGGCCAAGCCAGGGCCAAGCCAGGGCTAAGCCAGAGCCAAGCCAGAGCCAAGCCAGGGCTAAGCCAGAGCCAAGCCAGGGCCAAGCCAGGGCTAAGCCAGAGCCAAGCCAGGGCCAAGCCAGGGCTAAGCCAGAGCCAAACCAGGGCCAAGCCAGGGCTAAGCCAGAGCCAAGCCAGGGCTAAGCCAGAGCCAAGCCAGGGCCAAGCCAGGGCTAAGCCAGAGCCAAGCCAGGGCTAAGCCAGAGCCAAACCAGGGCCAAGCCAGGGCTAAGCCAGAGCCAAGCCAGGGCCAAGCCAGGGCTAAGCCAGAGCCAAGCCAGGGCTAAGCCAGAGCCAAACCAGGGCCAAGCCAGGGCTAAGCCAGAGCCAAGCCAGGGCCAAGCCAGGGCTAAGCCAGAGCCAAGCCAGGGCTAAGCCAGAGCCAAACCAGGGCCAAGCCAGGGCTAAGCCAGAGCCAAGCCAGGGCCAAGCCAGGGCTAAGCCAGAGCCAAGCCAGGGCTAAGCCAGAGCCAAACCAGGGCCAAGCCAGGGTCAAGCCAGAGCCAAGCCAGAACCAAGCCAAGTCCAAGCCAAGTCCAAGCCAGGACCAAGCTAGTCGGTCACGCTTAAACCCTACAGTACCTCGTAGACCCTAGGCTCAGTCAAATGATCCTACAGTACCCTCAAGAACCTCAGGGAATCCTACAGCCAAGTCCAGTCTAGATCCAGTCTAGATCCAGCTTAGATCCTGGCTGGAGCATGGTCCAACCCTAGGCCAGTTCTAGGATGAGTCAGGCTCGGATCAGAACTAGGTTCAGATCGATTACCACTACAGGTCAGGCCCGGATTCAGGCCAAGTCCAGGATAAGCCAGACCCAAGGTCCAGGCCAGATCCTGAGCCAAAGGTACGAGCAGAATCCAGGTCTATACCAGGACCAGGTTAGGTTCAGATTCAGGTTTAGGTCTAGGTTCAGGCCTAGGTCCAGGCCTAGGCTTAGGCCTAGATTCAGACCAGTTCCCCTTACAGGTTAGGCTCAGGTTCAGCCCTAGGTCCAGATCCAGGCCCAGGCCTAGGTCTAGGCCTAAGTCCAGACCCAGACCCAGACCTAGGTCCAGGCCTAGGCTTAGGCCTAGGTTCAAACCAATTCCCCTTACAGATTAAGCTCAGGTCCAGGTCAAGGTCTAGGTCTAGGTCCAGGTGCAGGCCTAGATTCAAGCCTAGGTCCAGGCCTAGGTCTAGTCCAGTTCCCATACAGGTTAAATCGAGGTCCAGGCTAGATCCAGGCTTAGCTCAGGCTTAGCCAGACCCAGGCAAGGTCAGGCCAAACCTTTATTTAAGGCCAAGCCAAACTCTAGATTCGAGTTCTATCAAGTTCTAAAGTCTATGAAACTTTAAAACATCAAAACCACTTTTCAGGAATTCGGGATGTCACCGAAAGATTTCTCGGGTCTTCCCCAATGGAAACAAGTTCGAATGCGAAAGGATTTGGGGCTATTTTAACGATTTTCCGGCAGCAATTCGACTATAATTGAAGGATTAAATCGAAACCAGAAACGTTATTTAATGTCTAGCCATTTCTAGCCATTGTCTAGCATTTTTGTCTTGATTTTGCATCGATTTGGATTAAGTTTAGCTGGATTTTGAATGTTTTTGAATGTTTTTGAATGTTTTTGAATGTTTTTGAATGTTTTTTGAATGTTTTTGAATGTTTTTTGAATGTTTTTTGAATGTTTTTGAATGTTTTTTGAATGTTTTTGAATGCTTTTGAATGTTTTTTGAAATTTAAATGATTTCTAGGTGCTTTATTGGTTGTCTTTGAACATATCATTGAATGAATTGAATAAAAAAATTCATTGAGCAAATCAGAAAAAGACTTTGGTCAAATGTATTTACAGAAAATGGGAAATGGGTTTTTGTTTGATAGGATAGCTGTCTAAAGATAGCTTTCGTTGTCTAAAGATAGCTTTCGTTGTCTCCAATTCGAATGTGACCAGGTGGATCGACTTGTGGAGGTGAGGTGGTAGACGTGAGAATTGAGGTCGGCACTCCACGAACGAGAAAACGATCCTGAATTGTCAGCTGTCAGCTGTCAGCTGTCAGATTCAGCTCAAGATCTTTACGAGCTTTACGATCTTTACAATTATACACGATCACTTCTAGGAACTTTCTAGGAAAAGACATGAACGAAAAACAAAGAAAAATCAAATCTTACTAAGGAAAGTCTAAGGATTTAATCTTCATTTAATCTCCATTTAATCTCAATTTACCTCTTCAGGCACTGATCGTCCGTCAATAATCGTCTCTAACTGATTTCGTTTCTCTTCCACCTGAAATTCAGTCGATTTTGATCCATTTCGATTCCAAAAGCCCTCACCTCTTCCACTTTTTGACGTACAAGAGAAACAGCTGCACTTCGAGCTTCTTTACTTGCACTGAAAGCATTTGAAAGCATTCAACAGTTGAATTGAGCATTCAGCAGTTGAACTGAGCATTCAACAGTTCAATTGAGCATTCAACAGTTGAATGGAGCATTCAGCAGTTGAACTGAGCATTCAACAGTTGAATTGAGCATTCAACAGTTCAATTGAGCATTCAGCAGTTGAACTGAGCATTCAACAGTTCAATTGAGCATTCAGCAGTTGAACTGAGCATTCAACAGTTCAATTGAGCATTCAACAGTTGAATGGAGCATTCAACAGTTGAATGGAGCATTCAACAGTTGAATTGAGCATTCAACAGTTCAATTGAGCATTCAGCAGTTGAACTGAGCATTCAACAGTTCAATTGAGCATTCAACAGTTGAATGGAGCATTCAACAGTTCAATTGAGCATTCAACAGTTGAATGGAGCATTCAACAGTTGAACTGAGCATTCAACAGTTCAATTGAGCATTCAACAGTTGAATGGAGCATTCAACAGTTGAATGGAGCATTCAACAGTTCAATTGAGCATTCAACAGTTCAATTCAGCATTCAACAGTTGAATTGAGCATTCAACAGTTCAATTGAGCATTCAACAGTTCAATTCAGCATTCAGCAGTTCAATTCAGCATTCAGCAGTTCAATTCAACATTCAACAGTTCAATTCAGCATTCAGTTGAATGTTAAAGGTGAATGCTCAATTCAACTGAGATTAAAGATGTAAATTAAAACTTACACATGATTAGCATTTGTTTGTGCGACGAGCATCTCTCCAATGTGTCTCAATTCGGCTACATCAGAGCCGAGCTTTCGTCGCTCCACTGAGAAAAGTAATGTTGGTGGGCCTAGAATGAGATTTTTGATCAATTTCAATCAATCCTTTAGCTTTCAAACAATCATTTATCTTTCAATCAATCCTTTAGCTTTCAAACAATCATTTATCTTTCAATCAATGCTTTACCCACCTTGTCTCCGTCCTTTAGTCAACAAATACTCTTTCGCCTGTCGATCCAGCTCATCAATGCGTTTCAGGATCTGAAAATTCAGATAACAATCTATACAGAAATCTATTTAGATTACTACTTAGATTACTACTTAGATCATTATTATTTCCACCTTCTTTTGATCTTTCCGACTTTCAATTCACCTGTACACATGCTGAGTTGAAAGCGGCACAGACGTGTGTCCGGGCGTCGTGCTCAGTCAATGCTCGGGTTAAACGGCCCCAGATGTGCTCAAGCTTGTCGGCTAGTTGTTTCTGAAAAATGGATCTAAAACCTAAAGGCTAAACCTAAAGGCTAAAGTCATAGCCTTTGTTTCATTAGAATCGCCTAGAGTAGATCGATTCAAGACTAAGGACCACAGTATCAAGACTACAGTATCCTCAAGGCCCTTAGGGAATCCTACAGTCCCCTCAAGAGATCCTACAGTACTCCAAGACTCTCAGGGCTTCTTACAGTATCTTTAAGGGATCCTAGAGTACCCTCAAGGGTCCTACAGTACCCTCATGGGATCCTAAAGTACCCTCAAAGGATTCTGAAGTGTCTCAAAGGATCCTACAGTTCCCTCCTGACCCTCAGGGATCCTACAGTACCCTCAGGGATCCTACAGTACCCTCAAGGGATCCGACAGTTCCCTCAAGGAATCCTAGGGCATCCTCACGACCCTCAGGGAATTCTACAGTACCCTCATGACCCTCAGTGATCCTACAGTACCCTTAAGGGATTCTAGAGTACCCTCAAGGGTCCTACAGTACCCTCATGACCCTCAGGGAATTCTACAGTATCCTCAAGGGATCCCACAGATCCTGAAGATCCTCAGGGATCCTAGAGTACCCTGTAGACCGTCAGAGAATCCTACAGTACCCTCAGGAGTCTCAGGGATCCACAGTACCCTCAGGAGTCTCAGGGATCCTTCAGTACCCCTAAGGGATCCTACAGTATCCTCAAGGGATTCTACAGTACCCCCTCAGGCCCTTAGTGAATCCAACAGTACCCTTAAGACCCTCAAAGGATCCAGGATCCTGATTCCAGGATACAGGATCCTGATTCCAGATCCAGGATCCAGGCTCTGGGCATCTAATTCAATATTTGGCTTGCTGGCATACTGTAGTACTACTTTACAATATAACAAATATAATAGAAACGGACCTGTGGACTTGAGTCCATTCTCAACGATCGCCGCAAAACGAGCGCCACTTGGCAGAGTTCTTTTCCGTAGTGATAGGTGCTCTGAAAATGTTTCTAATTTGAAAACTAAAAGGCAATAAAGCTCACTCTTGCCGTATCTTCAAGCTGTTCCCGGTCTTTTTTCAGCACTCGTAACTCTGTCTCATCACAGCCAACCTTGAAAGATTATTGAAATTTGTTAGCTAGAAAACTTTACTTGATTGTAGTCTCGTCTCAGCGTCTCCTGAAGCTCTTCGATCCAAGAAATTGCCTAGAAATCGGTGATTTTAAAGGCTTAGTAAAGGAGTAGTAAAGTCAGGAAGACAAAACAAAGCCAAGACAAAAGTTTAGTCAATCTGGCTTGACTTGATCTAGACTGTTTAGACAGACTGACACCAGGCAAGCTCTCCCAAGCCAATTCCAGGGACTCTAGCTTCTTCTGAGTAGTGTTTAGATAAGTTTCTTTAAAAAACTAAGTATAGATTCGGATTCTCTGTTCTCGAAAACCCTGAATACCTGATTTGCATCTCTTTCACAAGTACTCAATCGGATGATCTGTTCGAGTTTCAATCGGCGCACGTCCACTAAGTCTAGGCATCTAAAAGTTTCTATTATAGTAATCTTGTTAAATAATTGTTTACTTTTAAAGTTTTATTTACTATTAGGTAAGTCTTGGTAACAGTTTTGTTGAGAAATTTATTCACAATTAAACCAACAGCTTTCTCAAAATCGTTTTAGATAATCGTTGCTCATTTTGTTGAATTGAAGTGATAGAAAAGCAAAGCTTTTGGTGGGCAGGACAAGTGACGAAAAGAACAGAAGAACAGAAGAACAGAAGAACAGAAGAACAGAAGAACAGAAGAACAGAAGAACAGAAGAATAGAAGAACAGAGGAATAGAAGAACAGATAGACAGAAGAACAGATAGACAGAAGAACAGATAGACAGAAGAATAGAAGAACAGAGGAACAGAAGAACAGATAGACAGAAGAACAGAAGAACAGAAGAACAGAGGAATAGAAGAACAGAAGAATAGAAGAACAGATAGACAGAAGAACAGAAGAACAGATAGACAGAAGAACAGATAGACAGAAGAACAGAGGAATAGAAGAACAGAAGAATAGAAGAACAGATAGACAGAAGAACAGAAGAACAGAAGAACAGATAGACAGAAGAATAGAAGAACAGAGGAACAGAAGAACAGATAGACAGAAGAACAGAAGAACAGAAGAACAGAGGAATAGAAGAACAGAAGAATAGAAGAACAGATAGACAGAAGAACAGAAGAACAGATAGACAGAAGAACAGATAGACAGAAGAATAGAAGAACAGAAGAACAGAAGAATAGAAGAACAGAGGAATAGAAGAACAGATAGACAGAAGAACAGATAGACAGAAGAACAGATAGACAGAAGAATAGAAGAACAGAGGAACAGAAGAACAGATAGACAGAAGAACAGAAGAACAGAAGAACAGAGGAATAGAAGAACAGAAGAATAGAAGAACAGATAGACAGAAGAACAGAAGAACAGATAGACAGAAGAACAGATAGACAGAAGAACAGAGGAATAGAAGAACAGAAGAATAGAAGAACAGATAGACAGAAGAACAGAAGAACAGATAGACAGAAGAACAGATAGACAGAAGAACAGAGGAATAGAAGAACAGAAGAATAGAAGAACAGATAGACAGAAGAACAGAAGAACAGAAGAACAGATAGACAGAAGAATAGAAGAACAGAGGGAACAGAAGAACAGATAGACAGAAGAACAGATAGACAGAAGAACAGATAGACAGAAGAACAGAAGAATAGAAGAACAGAGGAACAGAAGAACAGATAGACAGAAGAATAGAAGAACAGAAGAACAGAAGAATAGAAGAACAGAGGAATAGAAGAACAGATAGACAGAAGAACAGAAGAACAGAAGAACAGAGGAACAGAGGAACAGAAGAACAGAAGAATCGGTAGACAACAAGGATAACAGAATTGACACCACGTGCCCAAAAGAGGTTGAATTGTGCTTTGAGAAGAAGCGACGGAACGTTTTCAAAGCTATTCTAGGCCGCAAAGAAGATCCTTTGGACTCGTACAACATAACGTGTCTCAGATGTTCTGGTGGAAGATCTGGGGTAGCATTGAAGCATTGAAGCTTGAAGCTTGAAGCATTAGAGCATTGAAGCTTGAAGCTTGAAGCATTAGAGCATTGAAGCTTGAAGCTTGAAGCATTCAAGTCTGCGTATGAAATGCTTTGAAAGGAGACTGATAAGCCGACTTATTGGATGTAAACAGAACGGGGAAAGTCGAGCGCATAAAAATTTATTTCGAAAGAACAGAGTGTTACCAAGTCTTATGAACCAGTCTAATAATTCTGATATCCTAAAGCTCACCTCTTTCTCCGGTGCTTCGCGGCGGCCATGTTTTCCCTGATGTGAGCAACGCCAGCGACGTAGTTTCTCGAACCCTTGAAAGAAATGTTACTAGGGAATGTTGTTATCGTGGCTTTGACTCGAAAATAGCCTATCTGATGCAGTTTTTTACGCTGATTCCGAATCTGCAATCAGTTTTTGCCAGACGCTTCTCTATCGAGAGATATTTGGCATACAAGAGACCTCATAAAGAGACCCCAAAAACTTGTATGCCAAATGCCAAATATCTCTCGATAGAGAAGCGTCTGGCAAAACGGAATGCGTGAAAACTGCATCAGATAGGCTATTTTCCGAGTCAAAAGCCACGATATTTTAACAACATTCCCTAGTTAGATAAAAATGGACATAAAGTTTTAAACATTCAATAATAAGAAATAAATATTTATATAAATCTATATTCTTTATATTATGGCCAAGTTGTATTTCAGCTATAATTTCGGAGGTTTAAGACAGATTCAGGTTAAATGAGCTTCATTGTTTTGAACTTGAGCAAATTGGAAGTTGCAGAGCTTAAGGGAATTGGAAATTGCTCAAGTTCTGATGTCATTTCCTTGTAAGAGTTCCCTTGTCTCTTGTCATTCCCTGGCCATTCCCTGGTCATTCCCTGGCCATTCCCTTGTCATTCCCTTGTCATCCCCTCGTCATTCCCTTGTCATTCCCTTGTCATTCCCTTGTCATTCCCTTGTCATTCCCTTGTCATTCCCTGGCCATCCCCTCGTCATTCCCTTGTCATTCCCTTGTCATTCCCTTGTCATTCCCTGGCCATCCCCTCGTCATTCCCTGGCCATTCCCTTGTCATTCCCTTGTCATTCCCTTGTCATTCCCTTGTCATTCCCTGGCCATCCCCTTGTCATTCCCTTGTCATTCCCTTGTCATTCCCTTGTCATTCCCTTGTCATTCCCTTGTCATTCCCTGGCCATCCCCTTGTCATTCCCTTGTCATTCCCTTGTCATTCCCTTGTCATTCCCCTTTGTCATTCCCTTGTCATTCCCTGGCCATCCCCTTGTCATTCCCTTGTCATTCCCTTGTCATTCCCTTGTCATTCCCTTGTCATTCCCTTGTCATTTCCTTGTCATTCCCTTGTCATTCCCTGGCCATCCCCTCGTCATTCCCTCGTCATTCCCTCGTCATTCCCTTGTCATTCCCTTGTCATTCCCTTGTCATTCCCTTGTCATTCCCTGGCCATCCCCTCGTCATTCCCTGGCCATTCCCTTGTCATTCCCTTGCCATTCCCTGGCCATCCCCTCGTCATTCCCTTGTCATTCCCTTAATGTCATCCCCTTGTCAAGCATTCAACAGTTGCAATTGAGCATTCAACAGTTCAATTGAGCATTCAACAGTTGAATGGAGCATTCAACAGTTCAATTGAGCATTCAACAGTTCAATTGAGCATTCAACAGTTGAATGGAGCATTCAACAGTTCAATTGAGCATTCAGCAGTTGAACTGAGCATTCAACAGTTCAATTGAGCATTCAACAGTTCAATTGAGCATTCAGCAGTTGAACTGAGCATTCAACAGTTCAATTGAGCATTCAACAGTTCAATTGAGCATTCAACAGTTGAATGGAGCATTCAACAGTTCAATTGAGCATTCAACAGTTCAATTGAGCATTCAACAGTTGAATGGAGCATTCAACAGTTCAATTGAGCATTCAGCAGTTGAACTGAGCATTCAACAGTTCAATTCAGCATTCAACAGTTCAATTCAGCATTCAACAGTTCAATTGAGCATTCAACACTTGAATTGAGCATTCAGCGGTTGAATTGATCATTCAGCAGTCAGTTGAATTGATCATTCAACAGTTCAATTGAGCATTCAACAGTTCAATTGAGCATTCAGCAGTTCAATTGAGCATTCAGCGGTTGAATTGAGCATTCAACAGTTCAATTCAGCATTCAACAGTTCAATTGAGCATTCAACAGTTCAATTCAGCATTCAGTTGAATGTTAAAGGTGAATGCTCAATTCAACTGAGATTAAAGATGTAAATTAAAACTTACACATGATTAGCATTTGTTTGTGCGACGAGCATCTCTCCAATGTGTCTCAATTCGGCTACATCAGAGCCGAGCTTTCGTCGCTCCACTGAGAAAAGTAATGTTGGTGGGCCTAGAATGAGATTTTTGATCAATTTCAATCAATCATTTAGCTTTGAATCAATCATTTAACTTTCAATCAATGCTTTACCCACCTTGTCTCCGTCCTTTAGTCAACAAATACTCTTTCGCCTGTCGATCCAGCTCATCAATGCGTTTCAGGATCTGAAAATTCAGATAACAATCTATACAGAAATCTATTTAGATTACTACTTAGATCACTACTTAGATCATTATTATTTCCACCTTCTTTTGATCTTTCCGACTTTCAATTCACCTGTACACATGCTGAGTTGAAAGCGGCACAGACGTGTGTCCGGGCGTCGTGCTCAGTCAATGCTCGGGTTAAACGGCCCCAGATGTGCTCAAGCTTGTCGGCTAGTTGTTTCTGAAAAATGGATCTAAAACCTAAAGGCTAAACCTAAAGGCTAAAGTCATAGCCTTTGTTTCATTAGAATCGCCTAGAGTAGATCGATTCAAGACTAAGGACCACAGTATCAAGACTACAGTATCCTCAAGGCCCTTAGGGAATCCTACAGTCCCCTCAAGAGATCCTACAGTACTCCAAGACTCTCAGGGCTTCTTACAGTATCTTTAAGGGATCCTAGAGTACCCTCAAGGGTCCTACAGTACCCTCATGACCCTCAGGGAATCCTACAGTACCCTCAAGATCCTCAGGGGATCCTACAGTACCCTCAAGATCCTCAGGGGATCCTACAGTACCCTCAAGATCCTCAGGGGATCCTACCGAACCCTCAGGATCTTCAGGGATCCTACAGCATCCTTAGGGAATTCTACAGTACCCTCACGCGATCCTAAAGTACCCTCAAAGGATTCTGAAGTGCCCCAAAGGATCCTACAGTTCCCTCATGACCCTTAGGGATCCTACAGTACCCTCAAGGGTCCTACAGTACCATCAAGGATCCTACAGTACCCTCTTGACCCTCAGGGAATTCTACAGTATCCTCAAGGGATCCCACAGATCCTGAAGATCCTCAGGGATCCTAGAGTACCCTGTAGACCGTCAGAGAATCCTACAGTACCCTCAGGAGTCTCAGGGATCCACAGTACCCTCAGGAGTCTCAGGGATCCTTCAGTACCCCTAAGGGGTCCTACAGTATCCTCAAGGGATTCTACAGTACCCCCTCAGGCCCTTAGTGAATCCAACAGTACCCTTAAGACCCTCAAAGGATCCAGGATCCTGATTCCAGGATACAGGATCCTGATTCCAGATCCAGGATCCAGGCTCTGGGCATCTAATTCAATATTTGGCTTGCTGGCATACTGTAGTACTACTTTACAATATAACAAATATAATAGAAACGGACCTGTGGACTTGAGTCCATTCTCAACGATCGCCGCAAAACGAGCGCCACTTGGCAGAGTTCTTTTCCGTAGTGATAGGTGCTCTGAAAATGTTTCTAATTTGAAAACTAAAAGGCAATAAAGCTCACTCTTGCCGTATCTTCAAGCTGTTCCCGGTCTTTTTTCAGCACTCGTAACTCTGTCTCATCACAGCCAACCTTGAAAGATTATTGAAATTTGTTAGCTAGAAAACTTTACTTGATTGTAGTCTCGTCTCAGCGTCTCCTGAAGCTCTTCGATCCAAGAAATTGCCTAGAAATCGGTGATTTTAAAGGCTTAGTAAAGGAGTAGTAAAGCCAAGAAGACAAAACAAAGCCAAGACAAAAGTTTAGTCAGTCTGGCTTGACTTGATCTAGACTGTTTAGACAGACTGACACCAGGCAAGCTCTCCCAAGCCAATTCCAGGGACTCTAGCTTCTTCTGAGTAGTGTTTAGATAAGTTTCTTTAAAAAACTAAGTATAGATTCGGATTCTCTGTTCTCGAAAACCCTGAATACCTGATTTGCATCTCTTTCACAAGTACTCAATCGGATGATCTGTTCGAGTTTCAATCGGCGCACGTCCACTAAGTCTAGGCATCTAAAAGTTTCTATTATAGTAATCTTGTTAAATAATTGTTTACTTTTAAAGTTTTATTTACTATTAGGTAAGTCTTGGTAACAGTTTTGTTGAGAAATTTATTCACAATTAAACCAACAGCTTTCTCAAAATCGTTTTAGATAATCGTTGCTCATTTTGTTGAATTGAAGTGATAGAAAAGCAAAGCTTTTGGTGGGCAGGACAAGTGACGAAAAGAACAGAAGAACAGAAGAACAGAAGAACAGAAGAACAGAAGAACAGAAGAACAGAAGAACAGAAGAATAGAAGAACAGAGGAATAGAAGAACAGATAGACAGAAGAACAGATAGACAGAAGAACAGATAGACAGAAGAATAGAAGAACAGAGGAACAGAAGAACAGATAGACAGAAGAACAGAAGAACAGAAGAACAGAGGAATAGAAGAACAGAAGAATAGAAGAACAGATAGACAGAAGAACAGAAGAACAGATAGACAGAAGAACAGATAGACAGAAGAACAGAGGAATAGAAGAACAGAAGAATAGAAGAACAGATAGACAGAAGAACAGAAGAACAGAAGAACAGATAGACAGAAGAATAGAAGAACAGAGGAACAGAAGAACAGATAGACAGAAGAACAGAAGAACAGAAGAACAGAGGAATAGAAGAACAGAAGAATAGAAGAACAGATAGACAGAAGAACAGAAGAACAGATAGACAGAAGAACAGATAGACAGAAGAATAGAAGAACAGAAGAACAGAAGAATAGAAGAACAGAGGAATAGAAGAACAGATAGACAGAAGAACAGATAGACAGAAGAACAGATAGACAGAAGAATAGAAGAACAGAGGAACAGAAGAACAGATAGACAGAAGAACAGAAGAACAGAAGAACAGAGGAATAGAAGAACAGAAGAATAGAAGAACAGATAGACAGAAGAACAGAAGAACAGATAGACAGAAGAACAGATAGACAGAAGAACAGAGGAATAGAAGAACAGAAGAATAGAAGAACAGATAGACAGAAGAACAGAAGAACAGATAGACAGAAGAACAGATAGACAGAAGAACAGAGGAATAGAAGAACAGAAGAATAGAAGAACAGATAGACAGAAGAACAGAAGAACAGAAGAACAGATAGACAGAAGAATAGAAGAACAGAGGAACAGAAGAACAGATAGACAGAAGAACAGATAGACAGAAGAACAGATAGACAGAAGAACAGAAGAATAGAAGAACAGAGGAACAGAAGAACAGATAGACAGAAGAATAGAAGAACAGAAGAACAGAAGAATAGAAGAACAGAGGAATAGAAGAACAGATAGACAGAAGAACAGAAGAACAGAAGAACAGAGGAACAGAGGAACAGAAGAACAGAAGAATCGGTAGACAACAAGGATAACAGAATTGACACCACGTGCCCAAAAGAGGTTGAATTGTGCTTTGAGAAGAAGCGACGGAACGTTTTCAAAGCTATTCTAGGCCGCAAAGAAGATCCTTTGGACTCGTACAACATAACGTGTCTCAGATGTTCTGGTGGAAGATCTGGGGTAGCATTGAAGCATTGAAGCTTGAAGCTTGAAGCATTAGAGCATTGAAGCTTGAAGCTTGAAGCATTAGAGCATTGAAGCTTGAAGCTTGAAGCATTCAAGTCTGCGTATGAAATGCTTTGAAAGGAGACTGATAAGCCGACTTATTGGATGTAAACAGAACGGGGAAAGTCGAGCGCATAAAAATTTATTTCGAAAGAACAGAGTGTTACCAAGTCTTATGAACCAGTCTAATAATTCTGATATCCTAAAGCTCACCTCTTTCTCCGGTGCTTCGCGGCGGCCATGTTTTCCCTGATGTGAGCAACGCCAGCGACGTAGTTTCTCGAACCCTTGAAAGAAATGTTACTAGGGAATGTTGTTATCGTGGCTTTTGACTCGGAAAATAGCCTATCTGATGCAGTTTTTTACGCTGATTCCGAATCTGCAATCAGTTTTTGCCAAACGCTTCTCTATCAAGAGATATTTGGCATACAAGAGACCTCATAAAGAGACCCCAAAAACTTGTATGCCAAATGCCAAATATCTCTCGATAGAGAAGCGTCTGGCAAAAACTGATTGCAGATTCGGAATCAGCGTGAAAAACTGCATCAGATAGGCTATTTTCCGAGTCAAAAGCCACGATATTTTAACAACATTCCCTAGTTAGACAAAAATGGGCATAAAGTTTTAAACATTCAATAATAAGAAATAAATATTTATATCTATATTCTTTATATTATGGCCAAGTTGTATTTCAGCTATAATTTCGGAGGTTTAAGACAGATTCAGGTTAAATGAGCTTCATTGTTTTGAACTTGAGCAAATTGGAAGTTGCAGAGCTTAAGGGAATTGAAAATTGCTCAAGTTATGATGTCATTTCCTTGTAAGAGTTCCCTTGTCTCTTGTCATTCCCTTGTCATTCCCTTGTCATTCCCTGGCCATTCCCTTGTCATTCCCTTGTCATTCCCTGGTCATTCCCTTCTTATCTCCTCGTCATTCCCTTGTCATTCCCTGGCCATCCCCTCGTCATTCCCTTGTCATTCCCTCGTCATTCCCTGGCCATCCCCTCGTCATTCCCTTGTCATTCCCTTGTCATTCCCTTGTCATTCCCTGGCCATCCCCTTGTCATTCCCTGGCCATTCCCTGGCCATCCCCTCGTCATTCCCTTGTCATTCCCTTGTCATTCCCTTGTCATTCCCTGGCCATCCCCTCGTCATTCCCTGGCCATCCCCTCGTCATTCCCTGGCCATCCCCTCGTCATTCCCTTGTCATTCCCTTGTCATTCCCTTGTCATTCCCTGGCCATCCCTCTCGTCATTCCCTGGCCATCCCCTCGTCATTCCCTGGCCATCCCCTCGTCATTCCCTTGTCATTCCCTTGTCATTCCCTGGCCATCCCCTTGTCATTCCCTGGCCATTCCCTGGCCATCCCCTCGTCATTCCCTTGTCATTCCCTTGTCATTCCCTTGTCATTCCCTGGCCATCCCCTCGTCATTCCCTGGCCATCCCCTCGTCATTCCCTGGCCATCCCCTCGTCATTCCCTTGTCATTCCCTTGTCATTCCCTTGTCATTCCCTGGCCATCCCCTCGTCATTCCCTGGCCATCCCCTCGTCATTCCCTTGTCATTCCCTTGTCATTCCCTTGTCATTCCCTGGCCATCCCCTCGTCATTCCCTGGCCATCCCCTCGTCATTCCCTGGCCATCCCCTCGTCATTCCCTGGCCATCCCCTCGTCATTCCCTGGCCATCCCCTCGTCATTCCCTGGCCATCCCTCCGTCATTCCCTGGCCATCCCCTCGTCATTCCCTGGCCATCCCCTCGTCATTCCCTTGTCATTCCCTTGTCATTCCCTTGTCATTCCCTGGCCATCCCCTCGTCATTCCCTGGCCATCCCCTCGTCATTCCCTGGCCATCCCCTCGTCATTCCCTGGCCATCCCCTCGTCATTCCCTGGCCATCCCCTCGTCATTCCCTTGTCATTCCCTTGTCATTCCCTTGTCATTCCCTTGTCATTCCCTGGCCATCCCCTCGTCATTCCCTTGTCATTCCCTTGTCATTCCCTTGTCATTCCCTTGTCAAACTTATAACAGCTATAATTAGATTTAAGAATATAGAATTAGCATTTGAAAGCTGAAAAACCTTTATTGGGCCTTTTTCGGGAGTGGCCAGGTCCTCAGCAAAGACGGCGCCGATATCCATCACCTCTTCGTAAATGCTTTCTAAATATTTTTTTTAAAACTCTAGTTTCCTAGATATTAGAAGTATTTAGAAGTATTTAGATATGTAAATTCAAATTCAAATTTTCTAATCACTTCTAATCTCTTCTAATCTCTTTCTCTTTCTAATCTCTTTCTCTTTCTCTTTCTCTTTCTAATCTCAAATTTTCTAATCCTAGACATTCTAATCTTTACCCATTTGCTCGACTTTCTCCTCCAATTGTTTTCTTTCGATCTCGGCGCCGGCGAGATCAGAGCAGTGCAAATCCGTGCACAAAGACTCCAATAAGTTGTCGGTTTTTCGCGAAAACTAGAGAAATTCTTTAGATTTTAATATATTTGATATAAATTTATATATCTACCATATTTATTCTATTAATTCTATTAAGATTCTAATCTAAGCGTCTAATCTAAGCGCCTAATCTAATAAGCCTCTTTTATTCGAGAATTCTTTTCAATTCTATTTTGTGCTGTAACTACCGTAATCTTTGGCTTTATTTCTTTTGTTTTTTTTGCTTTTATTTTTTTGCTTTTAGTTTTTGGTCGAGAAAGATCGCTGGACAGACGGGGATAGCTCTTATGGCCAAATCGGTTCGATTTATGGCCAAATCGGTTCGATTTATGCCCAAATCGGTTCGATTTATGGCCAAAAATGAGCTCAATCTTCACCCTTACAAGCTCAAACAAGGGCAACAACTCAACAACTCAACGACGACAACAAACGAGTTCGACTCGAAAGATGTCGAGAGTTTCTCAAGCGGGCCGCAACTCTACACTCGGAGCGAATCCTGTTTTCTGACGAGAAACTCTTCTCGGTGGAACAAAGCTACAACCACCAAAATGATCGGATTTGGTCAACGTCCTCTCCAGGCAGCTCTGCGATTGTTCAACACCGACAAAATTCCAAATCGGTCATGGTATGGGCCGGAATCTGCGCAACCGGCAAAACGCCTCTCATTTTCATTTTCACAACCACCAAAACGATCGGAACCAAATAAATTTAAGTGAATGAGTGATCGTTAAAGGAATTTGAGAATGAATCTAGAAATTTATCTAGAGATCTATCTAGAAATCTATCTAGAAATCTATCTAGAAATCTATCTAGAGATCTATCTAGAGATCTATCTAGAGATCTATCTAGAGATTTATCTAGAGATCTATCTAGAGATCTATCTAGAGATCTATCTAGAGATCTATCTAGAGATCTATCTAGAGATCTATCTAGAGATCTATCTAGAGATCTATCTAGAGATCTATCTAGAAATCTATCTAGAGATCTATCTAGAGATCTATCTAGAGATCTATCTAGAGATCTATCTAGAGATCTATCTAGAGATCTATCTAGAGATCTATCTAGAGATCTATCTAGAGATCTATCTAGAAAAAGAAATCGATCGATTTCTATAAATCTATCGATTTCTATAAATCCAAAAACTTACCTCACTCATTTGTTCATGAAACTTTTCACTACGATTAACCATTTCAGCTTGTCGTTTCACCCGACTCATGAAAATTGTAGACGTTGACAAAAGAATGTCACGAATCTAAAGCAAAAAATTGATTTGATTTACTTTATGCTCTTTCTAGAATACTCTTTACTTTGTTTAGTAACAAGAACGCTTGAATTGAATTGAATTGGACATTTGAATTGGATCAAACACCAATAACCAATCGATCACCAACACCATCAATAGCTTTTAACGCAATTCTTAGGCTTTCTTCAACTTCAACTTCAACTTTCAAATAGTTGATCTCACGAGAAATGAAGAATTCAGTTTACTAGTTGTAAAAAATGAGCTTAAGTGCCTAGTAAGTGTCTAGTAAGTGTCTAGTAAGTGCTTAAGTACCTAGTAAGTGCCTAGTAAACCTAGTAAGTGCCTAGTAAACCTAGTAAGTACCTAGTAAATGCCTAGTAAGTGCTTAAGTGCCTAGTAAGTGTCTAGTAAGTGCTTAAGTGCCTAGTAAGTGCCTAGTAAATGCCTAGTTAGTGCCTAGTAAACCTAGTAAGTGCCTAGTAAACCTAGTAAGTGCCTAGTAAACCTAGTAAACCTAGTAAGTGCCTAGTAAGTGTCTAGTAAGTGCTTAAGTGCCTAGTAAGTGCCTAGAAACCTTTAAAACCCACTTTTTGTAGTGTAATTGCGTGTTCGGGAGCTGTGGCGGTTAAGCGTTGCGCCAATTCGGCCAACTCTTCAGCTTGCTGGGAGACTTCCTAAACAAATTCGATAACAAAACAGAACAATAACAAAATGAACAAAAAGAAATGAATCTGATTATAGAGAAAGAGAAACTGTAACTAGAATTGACTCACTTGACTCTTTGTCGTCAATTGTTCGTGTTCTCTGACGAGCTGCCTTGCCTCATCTCGACTCTCGCCAATCTCGTGCAACGATTGAAGCCATTTCTCTCCAGATCCTTCCAACCAATCCAATAAACTAAAGTCAAAAAGTGAAATGGAAAGGATTACTCTAGCTATCTAGTTATCTAGTTATCTAGTTATCTAGTTATCTAGTTATCTAGTTATCTAGTTATCTAGTTATCTAGTTATCTAGTTATCTAGTAAACAACTTTAGGCGCCTCGTTCTCAACCCCATTTAAAGATATTTCTATGTTTAATATACCAAATAATAGAAGACATTAAGGGCTATCTTTTCGTATATTGTACGTAAAAAGATCTTAAAATTGGGCTGAGAACGAGGCGTTTAAAGTTGGTCGAGGGGTCAAGGACGAGGGTCAACTTTAGACTCCTCGTTTGCTCGAAATTCCTTGAGATCTGGAGAACAGCTTATCAGAACCTATCGATGTGTGGGTGAAAAATGTAGCTAACGATGAGATCTAGTGGAGCATTAGACTCTTGAGCTTCTGGGAAAGCTTTGGAAGCCGTAAATAGTCATCAACTCGGCTCGATGGGGTACGATTAGAGAGAATTGCTTTAGATTGCTTTCGATTGCTTTAGATGCTTTAGATAGCTATTCGCTTTAGATTTTGTGATCAAATGAAAAGAAATTTAGGTTCTTTTCCGTTATAAATCCGCAAAATTTGCATTCTTCCATAAAAATCAACAAGGAAAACGACAAAAAGTTCATTCTTTTGCTATTTCATTCATTTTTCATTTCATGGATTCATTTTTCGCTTAGCGAAAGCGATAATTCTCTCAAACGATCTCATTCTTTTAACAACACTCTTCCATTATGACCAGAAACCTTTTTTTACAGCCTTTTTTACATAAACGTTAATTCGGAACGGCTGCAAAATGATGTCCATCACCGTATTGCAAAAGTACTGACCTATTCACCCCATTTGCATGCTCATCAAGCAATCTCTTTTTCTCACTCTCTTCCTCATCTTTTTTCTTTTTTTCAGCGTCAAGTTCAGGCTGCCGAGAGACTATCTAAAGACAAAATAGTCTGAAATAATAGCTTAGCTTTGAACAATTCGCCAAGCTTTGATAGCCCATAACTTTGCCTAGAGAGAATATTATACTAAACTTTTAATATCATTGTATAGAAGACATTGCAGGCTTTTAAATGATACCAAAAACAGCTTAATCGAATAATTCATTCCATGAAAATCAGCCAACACAACGCTAGAGTTGGATCAACCTTGTCTTCCCTGAATTGGCTTTGATTTCTGGATTGGATTATCGAAACAAGCTTTATTTAGTACCATTTAAAAGCCTGAAATGTTCTCTATACAATGATATAAAAAGTTAAGAATAATATTATCTCTGGGAGAAGTTATGGGTTATCAAAGCTTGGCCACTTATTCAACAATAATTTTCAAAATTTGGGCATTTGGCCAAGCTTTGAAGGCCCATAACTTTGCCTAGAAATTATATTATTCTTAGCCCTTTATATCATTGTATAGAGAGCATTTCAGGCTTTTAAATGATTCTAAATAAAGCTTGATTGGATAATTCAATCCAGAAACCAAAGCCAATTCAGGGAAGACAAGGTTGATCCAACTCTAGCGTTGTGTTGGTTGATTTTCATGGAATGAATTATTCAATTAACCTGTCTTTTGTGTTACTTGAAAGCCTGAAATGTCCTCTATGCAAAGATCTTAAAGCAAAGCAAAGATCTTAAATGCTAAGAATAATATTATCTTTGGGAAAAGTTATAGTCTTTAATGCTTGGCCACTTATTCAACAATGATTTTCAAGATCCGGGTATTTTGCCAAGCTCTGATAACCCATAACTTTTCCCAGAGATAATATTATTTTAAACTTTTAATATCATTGTATAGAAGGCATTACAGGCTTTTGAATGATACCAAACAGAGCTTGATTGGATAATTCAATCCATGAAAATCAGCCGACAAAACGCTCAAGATGGATCAGCCTTGTCTTCTCTGAATTGGCTTATATTTCATGGAATGGAATATCCAATCAAGCCATCTTTTGTGCTATTTAAAAGCCTGAAATGTTCTCTATACAATGATATAAAACGTTTAGAATAATATTACTTCAAAGCAAAGTTATGGGCGATCAAAGCTTGGGCAATAATTGAAAATGCTTGGATTTTAAAAAAACATTGTAAATCATTGAAAATGCTTGGACAATAGCTGGTATTTATATAAATAATAATTTAAGATTTAAATGATTACTCTCAATTTCTCAAGCAACTCCTTGATCGTATTTGCGTATTGTTTTTCGAGCGGATTTGACGAGACACGAATCTCGCTGAGGAAAGCATCGGCTAAAGATTGAAATTTCAAGTTTCTTATCCTTTTTTCGGTTCTAAAAGCCTCTAAAAGGCCTCTAAAAGCCTCTAAAAGCCTCTAAGACATTTCTCTTCTAGATTACGATAGTTTCAGACGTGTACCTCGTCTCAGCGTTGGCTCATCATCTCCAAGTGGATTCCCGCCAGCTTCCATTTCAGCCAATCGAGCTCTCAGTGTTGCCTCGGCGAACTCGAATCTCTGAAAAATGTCAGAAGTGTCAGAAATGTTAGAAGTGCCCCAGAAAGTGTGTGTTTACAAGCTACAGTAGCCCTTAGACACAAAGTTGAAGAAGATGTTTGAAAGTTGAAAAGAAACCTCTCTCGTATCACACCATCGAGTCGGTTCATATGGAAAAGCGCCGCCAAAAGATGGTGGCAATTGGCTCACATCAACCCATCGAGACAATTTATGCACTGAGGTGAGGATTGTCTGGAAATTGTACCTAGAAAGCTACCTAGAAGCTACCTAGAAGCTACCTAGAAGCTACCTAGAAGCTACCTAGAAGCTACCTAGAAGCTACCTAGAAGCTAAAGCTACCTAGAAGCTACCTAGAAGCTAAAGCTATCTAGAAAGCTTGTTTAGGCTTTTTACAAGCTTGTTTAGGTAGAATTGTACGGTAATTGTTGTACGGTAATCGGAGCAGACTCTAGGACAGGAATGAGCAAGGCGAGAACGGCCTTTTGGCATCTTGCAAGACGAGAACGGCATCTGGTTCTTTGTGATCTTTTGAAGCACACAGTGACAGCTATTTTGTTTGTTTGCTATTTCGTTTGTTTGCTATTGGATCAGCTCATTTAAAACCCATTTCCCATGTCCCATTTCCCTTTCCCAAGCTTTCCCAAGCTTTCCCAAGTCTTCCCAACCTTTCCCCAGTTTCTAAATGCTTTTCAATTGTCACATGGAAAAGTTCTGCTTTTCAATTGTCAACGAAAAGTTCTGCTAGTTCTGGAAAAGTTCTGCTAGTTCCCGAAGCGTAAATGTGGGATTCATTTCAATAGTTTTGAGCAATATATTGAGAAAATCGTCATTTGAGATGTCTGGAGAGCGGCCAGTGGGCCAGTAGGCTAGTGGCTCATCGTGGAAGCTTTCATTGTCTTTTTATTTGTGCACTGAGGTGAGGATTGTCTGAAACTACCGTAATCTAGAGAAAAAAGATCTGAAACGATCTGTAATCTAGACAAAAAGGTCTGAAAAAGCTACCGTCCTTTGGCCACTGTATCCCTTTAGCTACCGTATCCCTCTAGCTACAGTATCCCTTTAGCTACTGTATCCCTTTAGCTACTGTATCCCTTTAGCTACAGTTCCCTCTAGCTACTGTATCCCAGTAATAAATGCAGTTAGAGACGGTACCTGGAGCATGTTTTAGAGCAAATCTCAAAGTTCTCTCTTAGAAAAATGGCACGGTAATGCTCTAATCTCAAAATTCTTTAGAGTTCACCCTTTGTACTCTTAGCTACTGTACTCTTAGCTACTTTAAAGTACTCTTAGCTACCGTACTCTTAGCTGCTTTAAAGTACTCTTAGCTACTGTACTCTTAGCTACTTTAAAGTACTCTTAGCTACCGTACTCTTAGCTACTTTAAAGTACTCTTAGCTACCGTACTCTTAGCTGCTTTAAAGTACTCTTAGCTATCGTACTCTTAGCTACAGTACTCTTAGCTACAGTACTCTTAGCTATCGTACTCTTAGCTATCGTACTCTTAGCTATCGTACTCTTAGCTATCGTACTCTTAGCTATCGTACTCTTAGCTATCGTACTCTTAGCTATCGTACTCTTAGCTATCGTACTCTTAGCTATCGTACTCTTAGCTATCGTACTCTTAGCTACAGTACTCTTAGCTACAGTACTCTTAGCTATCGTACTCTTAGCTATCGTACTCTTAGCTATCGTACTCTTAGCTATCGTACCTTAGCTATCGTTCTCTTAGCTACAGTACTCTTAGCTACAGTACTCTTAGCTATCGTACTCTTAGCTATCGTACTCTTAGCTATCGTACTCTTAGCTATCGTACTCTTAGCTATCGTACTCTTAGCTATCGTACTCTTAGCTACAGTACTCTTAGCTACAGTACTCTTAGCTATCGTACTCTTAGCTACTTTACTTTAGACAAACATACAATCTTAAAATTAAGTGATTTCTGTAATTTTTACCTTGAATTGATGTGTCTCAACAAGTAGATCGAAATGAATTTTCTGCTGGTCAAGGAAACGCTCGGGTTGAACGATGATCGCCAAACGGACTTTTCGGTATAAAGCTTGCTAAAGATTCGAATGATTTGAGGATTTAGGACAAGAACAATAACAGTTATTATAACAATAACAGTTATTTACAGTCGAATCGTACCTGGCAAGCTCTTAAGACAGTCCGAACAGATCTCGCTGCCGCTTTTCTCCCATCAATCACCACACAAAGTCCACCTTTCGAGGAGAAAATCTCTAGTGAAGGGATTAGGGAGAAATATCTAAATTTTAGAGATATTTCTTGAAGAGATTGATTTAGATTGGATTTAGATTGGTTTAGACTAGGTTTAGATTGATTTAGATTGATTTAGATTGATCTAGACTAGGTTTAGATTGATTTAGATTGATTTAGATTGATCTAGACTAGGTTTAGATTGATCTAGACTAGGTTTAGATTGATTTAGATTGATTTAGACTAGGTTTAGATTGATTTAGATTGATTTAGATTGATTTAGATTGATCTAGACTAGGTTTAGATTGATTTAGACTGATCTAGACTGGCTTTAGATTGATTTAGATTGATTTAGATTGATTTAGACTAGATTTAGATTAGATTAGACTTAAAAATTGATTCTTAAGAGCTAAACAAACCCTAGCAATGAGACAAGATCATCGTAAAGCCCGCCACCACTTTGTAGACATGAGGTTGAAGCTGCTAAAGTGGAGCTTTAGAAAAAATAATGTCAGCAAGATATTTATAAAGATATATATATATATATATTATAAAAGCTGAGTAAGAAAGGGTGAATTCTGGAGGTAAAAATGGTAGAGTTGAGCTGGAGAAGCTGGAGGAGATGGAGGAGATGGAGAAGCTGGAGAAGCTGGAGAAGCTGGAGGAGATGGAGGAGATGGAGGAGATGGAGAAGCTGGAGGAGATGGAGGAGATGGAGGAGATGGAGGAGATGGAGAAGCTGGAGAAGCTGGAGAAGCTGGAGGAGATGGAGGAGATGGAGGAGATGGAGAAGCTGGAGGAGATGGAGGAGATGGAGGAGATGGAGGAGATGGAGAAGCTGGAGAAGCTGGAGAAGCTGGAGGAGATGGAGGAGATGGAGGAGATGGAGAAGCTGGAGGAGATGGAGAAGCTGGAGAAGCTGGAGAAGCTGGAGGAGATGGAGAAGCTGGAGAAGATGGAGAAGTTGGAGAAGATGGAGAAGCTGGAGAAGCTGGAGAAGCTGGAGAAGATGGAGAAGATGGAGAAGACGGGGAAGCTGGAGAAGCTGGAGAAGATCATAGAGCTTGCGACTGGGGTTTGGATCAACTCTAAGTATGTGGGGATCTGTGAAATTGTGATAAAGAGCAAGAAAAGATAAAATAGACAAGAAATATCACATATTATTATACATAATATAAGAGCTATTATCTAAATAGCTCTATTATCTATTATAATAGATAATGAAGATTAGAATCGTCATTTGAAAAATCGATACCTTTTGAAGTGAGTGAGTTCGACGAGTGTGAATGTGGAGAGATCAAAATCAACGATGACCCCAAACGATCAGTGCCACCTGGGGAAAGGTTTGAATCATTTTTAGAAGAACTATTGGCTAGAGAGTTTGTAGAAAAAGTTTCCGAGTTTTCTATAAAACTTGAAAAAAGCAGAGTGAGCTTCAGGTAAAAAAAAAAGAGATTTCTTCAGCTGAAGTGACGTGGTTACCTTTGGCCTTTAGACAAGCTTTTAATTGGTTAATGAATAGGCAATGAAACCCATTTAAAACCGAAAACCCAAAACCCAAAAATCAAGTACTTTCGCACTTAAAATAAAAAAAAAAAAATTTCTAATGCTTTAAAGCGGTATTCGCTTTGATAACCCATAACTTTTCCCAGAGATCGTATTATTCTTAACTTTTAAGATCATTGGATAGAGGACATTTCAGGCTTTTGAATGATGCTAAATAGAGCTTGATTAGATAATTCATTCCATGAAAATCAACCAACACAACGCTAGAGTTGGATCAACCTTGTCTTCCCTGAATTGGCTTTGATTTCTGGATTGAATTATCCAATCAAGCTCTATTTGGTATCATTCAAAAGCCTGAAATGCCTTCTATACAATGATATTAAAAGTTTAGTATAATATTCTCTCTAGTCAAAGTTATGGGCCTTCAAAGTTTGGCCATGTGAAAATGCCCGGATTTTGAAAATCATTTTCAATCATTGAAAATGCTTGGACAATAGCCGGTAATTTTTATATAAATAAGAATTTAAGATGTAAATGTTTACTCTCAATTTCTCAAGCAACTCCTTGATCGTATTTGCGTATTGTTATGGGCGATCAAAGCTTGGTCAAATGTCCAAATTTTGAAAATCAGTGTTGAATAAGTGGCCAAGCTTTGATAACCCATAACTTTACTTAGAAATAATATTATTCTAAACGTTTTATATCATTGAATAGAAGACATTGCAGGCTTTTAAATGATACTAGAGATAGCTTAATCGAATAATTCATTCCATGAAAATCAGCCAACACAACGCTAGAGTTGGATCAACCATGTCTTCCCTGAATTGGCTTTGATTTCTGGATTGAATTATCCAATCAAGCTTTATTTAGTATCATTTAAAAGCCTAAAATGTCTTCTATGTAATGATATTAAAAGTTTAGAATAATATTATTTGTAGGCAAAGTTATGGGCTCCCGAAGCTTGGCCAAATGCTTGGATTTTTAAAATCCTTGTTGAATAAGTGGCCAAGCTTTCAAGGCTATAACTTTTCCCAAAGATAATATTATCGTTAACTCTTTATATCATTGCATAGAAGACATTTCAGGCTTTTAAATGATACTAGAGATAGCTTAATCGAATAATTCATTCCATGAAAATCAGCCAACACAACGCTAGAGTTGGATCAACCATGTCTTCCCTGAATTGGCTTTGATTTCTGGATTGGATTATCCAATCAAGTTCTTTTTGGTATCATTTAAAAGCCTGAAATATCCTCTATACAATGATATAAAAAGTTAAGAAGAATATTATCTTTGGAAGAAGTTATAGCCTTTAATGCTTAATGAAAAAAATAAGTGGCCAAGCTTTGATAACCCATAACTTTACTTAGAAATAATATTATTCTAAACGTTTTATATCCTTGTATAGAGAACATTTCAGGCTTTTAAATGATACTAAATAGAGCTTGATTGGATAATTCAATCCAGAAATCTAAGCCAATTCAGGGAAGACAAGGTTGATCCAACTCTGGCGTTGTGTTGGCTGATTTTCATGGATTGAATTATCCAATCAAGCTCTATTTAGTATCATTTAAAAGCCTGCAATGTCTTCTATACAATGATATAAAAAGTTTAGAATAATATTATCTTTGGAAGAAGTTATAGGCTATCAAAGCTTGGCCATAAGAAATCGTTTTTCTCGTGCAAAAATTGAGTTGAATTTAAGCTGGAAAATCATAATTCTTCAAAAAAATGGGAGTTTTTAGAGAAAGTATTGGGTTGATGCATAATTATCCGGACTTCTTTTTGCGTGCTTGTATCTTTTTTGTTTTGAAAGCTTTTTGTCTATTTCTTTTTTTAAAATATTCGTTATTCTTTAGTGAACAAAATGCGTGTCGACAATCATATCCATCTTCGCCATATCATGCTCTACCACTTCGAAAAGGGATGGTCTCCCGCAGAGTCGTTTCGCGATCTCAAAGAACTTTTTGGTCAAGGAACAATTGGACGTGCAACAGTTTATGAATGGTTCGATCGTTTCAAGTCCGGTAACACAAGTGTTGATGATGAACCAGGAAGAGGACGGCCATCAGAATTCGATGACAAGGCACTTCTGGAAGCCGTTGAAGAAGACGAAAGCCTGACAACCAAGCCCTACTACTCTCCTACTGAAGCCCCAACGGACTACCACGTCAATCGATCGCTCAAAAATTGGCAAACAAATAAGATCTACAGCGATTTGGATGACTTGATAGACGATGTTAAAGCGTGGATTGCCTCCAAAAGATCGTTTATTCTTCGCTCGTGGGATCGATCGTCTTCCAAGCAAATGGCAATCAGTTATTGATGTAGGCGGTGAATATGCTCGAGAATAATCAATTAAACATATTTTTCTAACTATTTATGTTATTTTTTGTTAAATAAAATCATTTATAAAAGAAGTCCGGATAATTATGCATCAACCCAATAGTTTCTTGGAGTCTGCTGAACTGCAGAAAGGAATTTCTTGGAGTCTGCTGAACTGCAGAAAGGAATTTCTTGAAGACTTGTAATTAATAGAACAAAAGTGTTCTTGAACAGAACATTTTGTTCTTGAATTAGTGGATTTGTTAAGAAATTCCATTCAAACTTTCTCTGAGACTCTCTTTTCAATTTAATCGATCAACTTTGAACAAACGATCAACTTTGATTCTAAAATTTCTCTAATTCTCAAATTTTTACCGGGAAACGCGGCGAGTTCGGTTTCAATGCGTGCTCGCTGTCTTGAAACATCCATTCAAATAGTTGTAGCTGAATGTAATGATTATTAATTATCAAAAATTGATATTTGAGAAGATTGATATGAAAAAAATCAAGGTCAAATAGTGAAATAAAAGAAATAAATGAGAGAGAGATGATAACAGAAAGAAAAAGTCGGCAAAATCGATAAAAATCGGCAAAACTCTGGTACAAATCGATTGTGGAAATGGAAAACAAGGATAAAAGAGTGAGAAAATGTGATTTATTGCTAGATTCGCATTGAAAAGTTCAAATTGTTGAGCACAAAGAAAGTACAGCACAAAGAAAAAGGTTTAAAGGTGGCAAGGCTGGAAGAGAACCTGTTCGTTGTTGATTAATTGAATTAAGTTCGTTGAAGCAATAGGAAGCAATAGATTAATCGCTACTAATGGCTACTAATGGCTACTAATGGCTACTAATGGCACCCAGCTACTAATATATATTGATACTTTATTCAGGACATGAAATAAAGCGTAATCAGTCAGACAATACACAAATCTACACATAAATACATAGAGAAAGATGAGATATTTTACTCGGCGATGTGGAGGCGGGGAGAAAAGAAGATAGATAGAAGATAGGCTTCTTGCTTTAATAACCTCAGGCCATGAATGGGCCAACCCAGTGGAAGAGTGAACTCCGCTAGAGAAGGGATCTCTAGTCAGCTCTAGAGAAGACACCTCTAGTCTGGGCGCACGGGGGGAAGTGATTCGAAAAAGTTTGAGCCTAAAGCCTAAAGCTTAAAGCCTAAAGCCTAAAGCCTAAAGCCTAAAGCCTAAAGCCTAAAGCCTAAAGCCTAAAGCCTAAAGCCTAAAGCCTAAAGCCTAAAGCCAAAAGCCTAAAGCCAAAAGCCTAAAGCCTAAAGCCTAAAGCCTAAAGCCTAAAGCCAAAAGCCTAAAGCCTAAAGCCTAAAGCCTAAAGCCAAAAGCCTAAAGCCTAAAGCCTAAAGCTTAAAGCCTAAAGCCTAAAGCCTAAAGCTTAAAGCCTAAAGCTTAAAGCCTAAAGCCTAAAGCCTAAAGCTTAAAGCCTAAAGCTTAAAGCCTAAAGCCTAAAGCCTAAAGCTTAAAGCCTAAAGCTTAAAGCCTAAAGCCTAAAGCCTAAAGCTTAAAGCCTAAAGCCTAAAGCCTAAAGCCTAAAGCCTAAAGCCTAAAGCTTAAAGCCTAAAGTCCTTTCGATAAGCCAATTTGCAATCCGATTAGTGATGGATATGAGGAGATCTAATGAATTTTGTTTGGCGATTAATCTATTGCTAGTAATTGCTAGTAATTGCTCGATTTGGTTCTGGTTTGGTCCTGGTTTGGTTCTGGTTTGGTCCTGGTTTGGTTCTGGTTTGGTTCTGGTTTGGTCCTGGTTTGGTCCTGGTTTGGTCCTGGTTTGGTTCTGGTTTGGTTCTGGTTTGGTTCTGGTTTGGTTCTGGTTTGGTCCTGGTTTGGTTCTGGTTTGGTTCTGGTTTGGTCCTGGTTTGGTTCTGGTTTGGTTCTGGTTTGGTTCTGGTTTGGTCCTGGTTTGGTCCTGGTTTGGTCCTGGTTTGGTTCTGGTTTGGTTCTGGTTTGGTCCTGGTTTGGTTCTGGTTTTGCTTTGTGAAATTACTTTTGAACCAATCTCCTATCAAGCGTTCAAGTACAGAATTTCTGTCCTTTCCGATTTTTTGGGAGAGTACCTTAAATTTGTCGAATTTTGACGTTTTATAGCTCATCCTAAAGCTGAATTCAAGACGGATCGATTGGTAAAAACCGTTTTGAGATATCTCTTTTCTAAAAGTTTTTACAGCTATTTTAGTGAAGGGCGGCAGAGTAAAAAATTTTTGAAAAATATTGTCACCGGTGGGAGTCGAACCATCGACCCTCAGATCAATACCCTTTCCGCCGCTTTTCGCGATTTGGTTGAAGAAGATGCTCGACAAACGAGTCGGGAACTCGCTGAGCAAATGAATTGCCACCATACCACGATTTTGAAACAGCTTCGGAAAATGGGAAAAGTTCAAAAGCTCGGATCCTGGGTTCCACACCTGTTGTTGACGCGAAAAAAGGTGTCTAGGGGTTATTTTGGACGCTGATCACGAAACACATGTTTTTAGCCTAGGTTTCTGCATGGAAAACTAACGAAACGTGAAAACAGCCATTTTTTGGCTTTTTTCGCTCTGCCGCCCTTTACTAAAATAGCTGTAAAAAGTTTTAGAAAAGAGATATCTCAAAACGGTTTTTACCAATCGATCCGTCTTGAATTCAGCTTTCCGATGAGCTTTAAGATGAGCTTTAAGATGAGCTATAAAATGTCAAAATTCGACAAAATTAAGAAAAAGAGAAAAACAGAAAAATAACGATGTTTTGCAGGCCTTTTACAGCATCTAATCATTTTTTTTCTTTACAGGGTGACCAGAAATAATGTTGCCGGATTTTTGGCAGCATCAAGGTTCTGGAGCGATCTGCCACCAATGCATCGTCAAGGCCAATGCGTGAGTGCGATTGCGCAATTGCTACGTGTTTCTCATCCGTAAAGGTATTAGGGACTCATTGACCGAAAATTGACTTAAAGCCCAGCTCTGTTTTACTTTGTTTCAAGTCTATTCATTTTTTGTTGGATGACAAACAAGGGAGCTGCCATTCTGGAGCTCTGGAGCGATCTGTTATTCTCGAGTTCTGGAGCGATCTGCCACTCTGGAGTTCTGGAGCGATCTGCCATCAAGGCCAATGCATCGGCATGGTCAATGCGTGCGCAATTGCTATGTGTTTCTCATCAGCTCGTCGCAAAAGCGATTAAGCGATACAAGGAGCTTGGCAACGATGAAGATCTTCTAGGAAGAGGCAGAAAAAGAACAGTCAACACCTCCAGAAATCGCAAAGTGATTCAGAAGCGCCCGGAATCCACAGGTCTCAATGAGAAAGATAGCTCGACAGATTGTTTCTGTTACAAAATAGGCTAAATTAGGCCGCAACGTTATTTCTGGTCAGCCTGTAAGTTGTTAGGAATTGTTTGAAATAGAAATGTTAGAAAGAGAAATCAAGGCATTCTATATGTTGTTGTTAAATATAAACTCGTATATCGAAACTTTTAAAAAAATTTAACAATTCCTAAAAAGAACAAGAGAAGAGTGAAAAAGTGTGCCGGTTATAGCATTGATAGATAGTCGATAGATGGATTTGTGGGGAAGATTCGTCGCCAAGAAAGGGAAAGGATCCACCGACAAAAGGACTGTTCCGAGTGTGGGCAAAGGGATAAGAGAAGAAGAGGAGAAGAGAAGAAGGGAAGAAGAGGAGAAGAGGAGAAGAGGAGAAGAGGAGAAGAGAAGAACAGAAGAAGAGAAGAACAGAAGAAGAGAAGAACAGAAGAAGAGAATAGGAGATAAACCCTAGTTAGAGAAAAGCCGTTGAAATTGGAGAAGTGCTTGTTTCCAAAAGTTTGGGTAATTTGGGGTGACCTTGAGGTGACCCTGAATAGAAGAGCTGGATCAGATTGGATCCAGATTGGATTCAGATGGAGCAGATTGGATTCAGATGGTTCAGAATGGATCTAAAGCTGGATCAGAATGGATCCAGACGGATTTAGAGTGTGCTCCTTGTTGACAGACAATTTGTCAGACAAATTTTCATTGACAACTTTTTTGTCAGACAATTGATCCGACAAACTTCCGACAACGCGTTTTCTAAACGGTGCGCTTTTTAAGCGCTTTGCTTTGCTATAAAGGTCGCGCGAAAAAAATTTTGCAAACTTTTCTTAATAATATAGTAATGGATGGTTTTATTTAAGGATTTAGGTTTTTAGGGCGTGGAATTTTTTTTTTTTGGAATGGTTCTAGTGCAAATGTGGACAATAGGCCTGGTAAATTCGTAAATAATATAATTTTTTAATAGTGTTTCTTAACTTTTCCCGTTTTAAATGTTTTCTTTAATTTTACATAGCATTTAAAAATTATTAAGTTTTAGCGAAAGAGTAATAGAGTTAAGGAAAGATTAATAGAGTTAAGGGAAGAGTAATAGAGTTAAGGGAAGAGTAATAGAGTTAAGGAAAGATTAATAGAGTTAAGGGAAGAGTAATAGAGTTAAGGGAAGAGTAATAGAGTCAAGGAAAGAGTAATAGAGTCAAGGAAAGAGTAATAGAGTTAAGGGAAGAGTAATAGAGTTAAGGGAAGAGTAACAGAGTTAAGGAAAGAGTAATAGAAAAAAAGAGCGCAAGATTTTAATGTACATTTGCATTTTGAAAAATTTGCTGATGCAAAGCATAGGGTTACGGTAGCTTATCCTTGGCGCGCGCTTTTTAGAAAACGCGTTGTCTGCAAGGAACACACTCTAGACGGATTAGAATAGGTCCAGATGGATCAGAATGGATCCAGATGGATCAGAATAGGCCCAGATGGATCAGAATGGATCCAAATGAAGTAGATTGGACTCAGATGGATCAGAATGGATCCAAAGCTGGATCAGAATAGGTTCAGATGGATCAGAATGGATTCAGATGGTTCAGAATGGATCCAAATGAAGCAGATTGGACTCAGATGGACCAGATTGGATCCAGAGTTGGACCAGATTGGATCCAGAGTTGGACCAGATTGGATCCAAAGCTGGATCAGATTGGAACCAGAGTTGGACCAGATTGGATCCAGAGTTGGACCAGATTGGATCCAAAGCTGGATCAGATTGGAACCAGAGTTGGACCAGATTGGAACCAGAGTTGGACCAGATTGGATCCAGAGTTGGACCAGATTGGATCCAAAGCTGGATCAGATTGGAACCAGAGTTGGACCAGATTGGAACCAGAGTTGGACCAGATTGGATCCAGAGTTGGACCAGATTGGATCCAAAGCTGGATCAGATTGGAACCAGAGTTGGACCAGATTGGAACCAGAGTTGGACCAGATTGGATCCAGAGTTGGACCAGATTGGATCCAGAGCTGGACCAGATTGGATCCAGAGTTGGACCAGATTGGATCCAAAGCTGGATCAGATTGGAACCAGAGTTGGACCAGATTGGATCCAGAGTTGGACCAGATTGGATCCAAAG